TTTGGAAGTTTACCTTCTTCTGCAATTTTCTGGAAGAGTTTGAGTAAGATAGGTGTTAGCTCTTCTCTAAATTTTTGGTAGAATTCAGCTGTGAAGCCATCTGGTCCTGGGCTTTTGTTTGCTGGAAGATTTCTGATTACAGTTTCGATTTCCTTGCTTGTGATGGGTTTGTTAAGATCTTCTATTTCTTCCTGGTTCAGTTTTGGAAAGTTATACTTCTCTAAGAACTTGTCCATTTCTTCCAAGTTGTCCATTTTATTGGCATAGAGCTGCTGTAGTAGTCTCTTATGATCCTTTGTATTTCAGTGTTGTCTGTTGTGATCTCTCCATTTTCGTTTCTAATTTTGTTAATTTGGTTCTTCTCCCTTTGTTTCTTAATGAGTCTTGCTAATGGTTTGTCAATTTTGTTTATTTTTTCAAAAAACCAGCTTTTAGCTTTGTTAATTTTTGCTATGATCTCTTTAGTTTCTTTTGCATTTATTTCTGCCCTAACTTTTAAGATTTCTTTCCTTCTACTAACCCTGGGGTTCTTCATTTCTTCCTCCTTACTGTCCTATTTTAAATGATGAATGTATATTGCCTTTGCAATAAAGAAACTGTACTTTTGAAAAAACAGTTGTAGACACAATAATATCCACAGAAATGAAATAAGATCTCAGGTACATATGTAGGTGATAGAATTCTAAACAGGGACACAGATACATCTACTGACTGCAGAAACAGATTGTAACTGGAGAGCCTCGTCCATCTGGCTCTCATGGACTGATTCTTTGCAGATCACAAATATAACTCCAAATATGGTGACAGGTCTTTGGTGCCAGATTACTTCTAACCCTTTGGGAAAAGTCAATACCTTCCCCAGACAGATTAGCTGAATAATTTTGGTTTTGATCTCAGAATTAGTTTAATTAATCTAGGTTGTTTGGTTCTAAGTAATACATTTACTCTTCATTAGCAAGCATTAACAAGATTTAAAAAAAAAGCCTGTTTATTGAGGGCAGGAGGAGAAGGGGACAACAGAGGATGAGATAGTTGGATGGCATCACTGACTCAATGGACATGGGTTTGGGTAGACTCCGGCAGTTGGTGATGGACAGGGAAGCCTGGTGTGCTGTGTTTCATGGGGTTGCAAAGAGTCAGACATGACTGAGCGACTGAACTGAACTGATATAGGAAGGTAACCAAACTTATTAATTGTCCAGTGTTGACTTTTCTTGGGGTTGACAGAATTTGCACTAAGAAAATCAGAAAAATTCTGCCCCAAAATGTCCTGGAAGAGGTGCCCAGTTCTTATTATCAATGGAGTATAGGCAGATCCTATCATATCCAGAAAGCTGCAGAAAATCTAGAAAACTTCTGTTCGAGTAATGTTTACTAAAAGCTGCTACTAAACTAGCTACAGTTTAGTAGCTTTTAGTACTAAAACAAACTAGAAAACAACATCTTAAAATTTTATGGTATCCACTCTTCCAAATATATACATATTTAAAGACCAGCTTTTTATCATTTTTATTTTACTCTTTTTTTATCCATCCATTCACTCATTCATTAATTCAGCAAATTCTTTTTTTGAGAGGCAAAATCTTACGAATTGGGGAAAACACCAGAGAACTAACACAAGAGAGATAGGGCATGCCATTTGGGAGGTGGGCATGGAGAGAGAATGTTGTGTTAAATTAGGGTGTTCGGGAAGGGTCTTCCTGATAAGTACTTTGTTAAGAGATGTAACAGTTGGTTCTGCACTACTTTAACATTCCCATTTCACAAACCCTTTGACTATCAAAGTGGCTCAGCATTGATCCACTGTTTCTGTTATTTTTATGACACGTGAAATAATTCTTCTTTTGATGCTCTAAGAGTGGTACCTTTAGTACAAGACTGTGTTTCAACTGGATTTATTTAGCTGGTGAATAGACTCATTCAGATGTCAGTCTTCAGTGGCATCATTGAACTAATGCAGCCACACATGTGGACCTTAGGCTTTTTTTTTTTTCTTTTCTTTTCATTCATGTGTTTACCTTCTGAAGTTGACTATGGGCCCACTGAAGGCAGGGATGTGGTGATGATCTCATGTTGGCAGCCTCAATGCCTTGCCTAGTGCCTAGCAATTGTCAGATGCTCCGTGACTACCGAGGAATAAATAAACTTTGAGAGTAAAATAGGCATTGACTTTAAACAGTTCGAGAGATGAAGTCCAAATGGCCACATTTACCTACTAAACTGTCCAAAGTGGATAACTGTCTTACATCATGATAACGTCTCCATTTCTCTAAGCCTTGCATGGAGCTGGCATCAAGGACTTGCTCTGTAAAATAAAATGATGGTGTGTTTCCTACAGGAACACTTTTGGTATAAGCATTTCTGAGAGGTTGTTTCTAATCCCACTTTCCCCATGCCATTGCTATAAAATTAACAGCTCTCAGGCCCACGTTTTCCTTCTACCGCTGTGACAAATAACCTTGTTTATATCCTCTTTTTGAGATGGTGTGGAGTGCTATTTTTCACACTAGATTAGGGGGCAAAATTATGACAGCTCATGATGTCTGCACTTGGGAGAGCAATAAAAGGGAAAAAGGGAAACCAAAAACTATTTTATAACAGAGTTCTGATTCAAGGTCTTAATAATTGTATGGCTTTAGACCAACTGCCAAATTTCTGTGAATCCCATGACCTTGTGTCTATACTGGAAATAATAATTACTACCTTACAGTATTGCTGTGAAGGTTAAGTTGGATAATATATGCAAAACATCTGATATAGTACGTGGTACATAATGTGGATGTTCAATAGATTATTGTTAATATTTTAATACTATTAATAATACTATTAGAAAAGTTATGCAAATAATATTTTTAACCAGTTTTTCAACATTTACATGATCACTGAGGATAATCCTCATTAATATATTTGCACTTTGAAGTTTATCTCTCTATATATACTTGTAGGGGCTTCCCTGATAGTTCAGTTGGTAAAGAATCCACCTGCAATGCGGGATACCTGGGTTTGATCCCTGGGTTGGAAAGATTCCCTGGAGAAGGGAAAGACTACCCACTCCAGTATTCTGGCCTGGAGAATTCCATGGACTTTATAGTCCATGGGGTCACAAAGTGTCAGACACGACTGAGGCACTTTCACTTTCATATACTTGTAATAAAATTAATCCAAGTAATCAGCAATATATGAACCATGAACTTCCAGATGTTCAAGTTGGTTTTAGAAAAGGCAGAGGAACCAGAGATCAAATTGCCAACATCCACTGGATCATTGAAAAAGTAAGAAAGTTTCAGAAAAGCATCTATTTCTGCTTTATTGACTATGCCAAAGCCTTTGACTGTGTGGATCAAAATAAACTGTGGAAAATTCTGAAGGAGATGGGAATACCAGACCACCTGACCTGCCTCTTGAGAAACCTGTATGTAGGTCAGGAAGCAACAGTTAGAACTGGACATGGAACAACAGACGGGTTCCAAATAGGAAAAGAGTATGTCAAGACTGTATATTGTCACCCTGCTTATTTAACTTATATGCAGAGTACATCACAAGAAACGCTGGGCTGGAGGAAGCACAAGCTGGAATCAAAATTGCCGGAAGAAATATCAATAACCTCAGATATGCAGATGACACCACCCTTATGGCAGAAAGTGAAGAAGAACTAAAGAGCCTCTGGGTGAAGGTGAAAGAGGAGAGTGAAAAAGTTGGCTTAAAGCTCTCAACATTCAGAAAACTAAGATGATAGCATACTGTCCCATCACTTCATGGCAAATATATGGGGAAACAGTGGAAACAGTGGCTGACTTTATTTTTGGGGGCTCCAAAATCACTGCAGATGGTGATTGCAGCCATGAAAATAAAAGATGCTTACTCCTTGGAAGAAAAGTTATGATCAACCTAGACAGCATATTAAAAAGCAGAGACATTACTTTGTCAACAAAGGTCTGTCTAGTCAAGGCTATGGATTTTCCAGTGGTCATGTATGGGTGTGAGAGTTGGACTATAAAGAAAGCTGAGCGCCGAAGAATTGATGCTTTTGAACTGTGGTGTTGGAGAAGACTCTTGAGAGTCCCTTGGACTGCAAGGAGATCCAACCAGTCCATCCTAAAGGAGATCAGTCCTGAGTGTTCATTGGAAGGACTGATGTTGAAGCTGAAACTATACTTTGGCCACCTGATGCAAAGAGCTGACTCTTTTGAAAAGACCCTGATGCTGGGAAAGATCAAAGGCAGGAGAAGAAGGGGACGACAGAGGATGAGATGGTTGGATGGCATCACTGACTCAATGGACATGGGTTTGGGTGAACTCCAGGAGCTGGTGATGGACAGGGAGGCCTGGCGTGCTGCAGTTCATGGGGTCACAAAGAGTCGGACACGACTGCGCGACTGAACCGAACTGAACTGAATGTTTATGGTAATATGCTCCTGAATGTCTTTGTCAGTTAAGTAAATAAAGAAATTGCAAAATGTTGTGAATTCTTTCAACTGAAAAACAAGATGTTATTTGATAGAGAACATTCCCATGGTCTGGAGAAGGAAAAGGCAACCCACTCCAGTATTCTTGCCTGGAGAATTTCATGGACAAGGGAGCCTGGCGGGCTACAGTCCTTGGGGTTGCAAAGAGTCGGACACGGCTGAGCGACTAACACACACACACATTCCCATGGTCTCAGAGCATCATACATGCCAAGGAATAGTTCAGCAGGCATTTTGCCATCATGGTGATTCACACAATCTCTTATCACTTTGATAATTTTCTTACCGAAATACAGAGTTAATAGCAGTCATTATCTTTTCATGTAGGAAAGCCATGCTTTAACCCTAGTTAAAGATATTTTAACTAGTCTGGCAGAACTCTAGTCTGATATTTTTTCTTCTTGTTTTTTAGAGCCCTGAGACTTTAGGACAGAGACCACCACTAAGCACAAGCATCATCCACTTGCATAATTATGGAGATGATCTGCGAGACGTTGAAAATGCCCCTAGTTTTTTGACGGCGGCTGCATAAACATGGGGTCAAGTGGACTTGGGAAAGCAGCAACATTAGATGAGCTGCTGAGCACTTGCATTGAGATGTTTGGTATGAGGCTTTCTCCCTTTTGAACATCTTGCTACTCTTACCTTCCCCAGTTCAGTTGCAAGTGTTGCCATGGAACAGAATTCAGTCTCCATACATTGGTATTTGGGACTTCCCAGGTGGCGCTAATTGTAAAGAACCTACCTGCCAGTGGGGAGACGTAAGAATTGCCGGTTCAATCCCTGGGTTGGGAAGATCCCCTGGAGGAGGGCATGGCAACCCACTCCAGTATTCTTGCTTAGAGAATCCCATGGACAGAGGAGCCTGGCGGGCTACAGTCCATGGGGTCGCACAGAGTTGGACACGACAGAAGTGACTTAGCATGCACTCATGCACCTTGTTATTTAAGGCCCTTTTTATTAACCCCAGTCTGTCTCCCCAGTATCATTGCCCCATGCATTTCTTTCCTTTTACTGTCCACAGCTAATACCCAGACATACTGTTCACTTAACATTTCTGGAACATTCCCTGCATCTTTCTACCTTTATGCCTTTATCATACTCCTTCATTGAAATTCTGCTTCAGACCTTATTCAAGGTGTCATCTCAAATCTTCATAATATCATTCCTATAGTGCCCTGTCAGGAATGCTGACTGCTTCCTCCACTCACCCATAGCCCTTTGTGATTTTTTTGTGGACATGGTATATGCTGCTATGATCCTTTCTTGGTCCTTTGGCTTAGACACGTGTGAATAGCACAATCTCCTACATTCCATATTTGTCTATAAGTCGTATATCTCCTCCAAAGTTGTAGACTTTACAGCTATATGCTTTTCATGTTGTCTAACTACCCTAGCATTTTGGATTATTCCTTGTACAAATAGAATCACAAAGAAGTTGTTTGTTGAATTTATTGTTTTAGGAAGAGTTAAACCAGCCAGAGTAGGGTTGCCAGATAAAATACAGGATGATCAGTTAAATCTGAATTGCAGATGAGACACATTTTTAGTATGTCATAAATAGGGCATGGGACATACTTAAACTAAAAAATTCTTTGTGGTTTGCCTTAATTCAAATTTAACTAAATCTCCTATATTTTTATATGTGAAACTTGGCAACTGTACACCAGAGGAAGGATGAGACCTACCCACTTAATTTGCAAGGAAATACCAGAAGTAGGAGGAAAATGATAATTGGGTCTACAAGAACTTTTTGACACTAATGTTTCTCTACTGATATTAGAAAAAGAGAAAAGTAGTATGTGTTATTGTCTCCTCACCTCTTAATCTTCTTCTATTTTTTAACAGATGACAATGGAGAGCTGAATAATAGTTATTTGCCAAGAATAGTTCTACTCATGCACCGATGGTATTTGTCTTCCACTGAATTGGCAGAAAAACTTCTCTGCATATATCTTTCTAACTACTGTGTAATTTTTACAATCATAAATCAAGTTCTGTACTTAGATGAAGTGTCTTACCAAAGCCAGTAAATTAAGATGAATAAACAGTTTTCAGTCAGTTATCCAGCTGTTTTATGAATATATATAGATGTCTAGACAAAACATTTGGATGATTGACCAAATAGTTGATTATCCATCTGAATGTTTTGGCTCTACTTGAAAATAACCACTTGATATGAAATGAAACAGAAGCTGTAGCCTGAATGTTTCTAACTTGTCTTAAACATTTCTGCTGTTAGCATAATGAAAGAATATTTAACACTGATTCAAGAGTTACTTTATTCCTTTTAGGAAGGCAGAATGGTAGACCTAGAGGATACGGTTTAGACATATGGAAATGCCAGTCAGAATAACATGATCTGGCTCAGGCATAAACACGACCTAAATTTTCACATCGTCCCTTGCTGGTGAGACACAAGGAACATTCTAGCAGGTTTATTATAATCTGTTTGATCGACATTAATTTTAGATTTTCTTCTGATATAAAGTCAAAGGAAAAAACCATAGTTATAAACCCCATTCTATAATAAGGACTTTTAGCAATCTACCACTTTTGGTACAATCCTAAAAGGTGGTTAAAAGACAAATGACTGAAAAATGGCTACAAAATAGTCACATACTGATAAGGAGGTTTTAGTCCCTGAGATCTAACGTTTATTATATAATTGCTAACCTAGGTTCCTATAGTCTCTGCCTGCTCAAGCCCAGAGGTCCTGCAGATGAGTGAGGAGCCTCACGGGCAGGGAGAACCTGAGAGGCAGTGGGGCCACGGAGTGTTGTCCGGGCTAGAAGAGCTTCCATCTGCTTCCTTCAAGTCCTCCACTTTCTACTCCCCCCTCCATCATCAGTCATCCACCCAACCTCAGGCAGGGACTGGGTGTTAGAGACGAGTAGGGGACATTCACCCTGAACAGAGGTCCCTGGAAATGAGCAATACCTTAGTACCTTGTGGTCCAAGGGTTCCATGGGTCCTGCTATTGAAAGTTGGTACATAGAGAAGGATGGAGGGAACTATTTTAGTCTGGCCCCATTCCTTCCTTAGGATCTAAACACTGTCCCCAAAATGTGCCCACAGACAGTATTCTCATCATCAGTATGTCCACTGCCATGTGAAACACAAATAGAAAGGAATATTTAGACACAGTAAAGCTTACTATCTGAAAATACAGATCGTATGAAAGGTGAAACCACCTGTGAATTCACTTCTCTAGATTTTCCTCCCTTTGGATTCTCTGCTCACTGCATATCCATGGCACCTGGCATATAGCATGAACTCAATAAATATTAGCTAAAAGGTATGAATAAATAGACTTGAGACTAAATAACTGTAAGATGTGTATATTAATATACCCCAAAATGACATTTTCAAATACTAAAGAAATTGGAGTACTTATATATACCATTAATCCTACATACAAAATCTTCTTGGCTAAAATGGTGTTTCTATGTACTATTCATTTTAAATTATCTATAGCTAGTAGTCTATTTGTCATTACAGTTGACAGTCACCATTTGGTAAATGCTCAGGAAGGTAAAATTCATTTTATATGTGGCTTCTCTTCCACACCAAAAATATACATCTCAGAGCAATAATACATGGTGCTTGTTATTTAGCACTGATGTCATCAGAACCCACTTTTCTCCCCACTTGAACATCCACATCATCCTAATAGTATAGTCCTCTTCTTAGGAATTCATCTAAATTTACTAAACAGCCACAGATCTGTGCAAAGGAAACAATGTGCAAGGATTTTTTCCCTTAACTACTGTACCTATCGAAATGCCAGTGGAGAAAGCTGTGATGAATTTCGATTAAAGATCTGCTACTTCATGAGGTACTTACAAATTTAATTGTCTTATTTCTGGTTCTGGAATTATTGACAGTTTTCTTTTCCCCAAACTACAGACCTAATCTGACAATAAAATGGACTCAAGTCCCCCCTTTATTGATTTTATTAAAATTGGCTCTCCTCTGTTGCTGGGGGCATAGAATTTATCTTTCTTTTGGACTGTCAAGCAGAGGTCAATGTGATTAGGGGATGAAAGCAGCTCTGAGAAAGAGTGTATTCATTTTTTTCTACTCCCTCACTGTACACATTCCCACCTACTTGCCATGAGTTGGGAGAAGGGTTTCTTCTCAGCTGTGGTTCTAGAGAGAAAGAGACTCTCAAAGTAGGAGTGGTAGACTTGGGTCCTTGGTTGAAGCAGGGAAGAGCAAGACTCAATGCGGTAGATGGGGGATAAGAGATTGCTAATTTGAGGTATGGTCTTAAAGCATTGTTAAATGTAATCTATAAAATGACACCATAGTTTCCATAGAGATCTAGCTTGAAATCTTCTGGCTGTCAAAAATACTGGATGTCTTTCAGGTACTGGATTGTGAAATTTCCTGCAGAATTTAATTTGGACCTCGGTTTGATCCGTATGACTGAGGAATTCCGGGAAGTAGCTAGTCAACTGGGATATGAGAAACACACCAGCCTCATTGACATATCCAGCATGTAAGAATGGTGCAAGCGTCTTTCAAATATGATGAGTCTGCTCTTTGGGGGAGGGAGTAGTGATGATCCCACTTGACCTCCATCCATACCTGTTCAGAATCAAGGTGTGCTTCCTTGAGGAAAGCTTTGTTGCAAAGAGCACAGTCTCGTTGGACATAGTTTATCTCTCCAAGCTTCAATTTCTGTGTTTGTGAAGTAGAAATTGTACCTTTTTCATGGGGTTATAATGAGCATCCAAGAAGTACATGAGATAATATGTGAAAATATTTGACACCTAAGAGATGCTCAGTACTTGGTTACTGAATCTAGTCTCCTATGCCCTTGCCACTGTGTTCTGTGGATCAGCATCTCTGGCATTACCTGGGGGCGGGAGCTCAATAGAAACAGAGAATCTCATGCCCCACCCTAAAGCTGCAGAATTGGAAACTGCATTTTAATAAGGTTCCCAAGTGATTCATATGCTCATTCAAATTCGAGATGCTCTGTACCATGGTGCTTCTCATGTCAGCCAGAGGCTGTGCAAATGTGGACCATAGCTGTGCCATAAATTGATTAACTCAGTAATTAGGAACTTGGTGCTAATTAGGCTAGCATTTTATATTACTAGCTAACTTTACAGACAAAGATATTTCAGGGTTGTAAGTATTATTATCCATATTGAAAATATATATACTTTTGTGTGTCCTAGGCATTCATATCTAGTCTCCTTTCCTAAAATGCTTCTTCAAGAGTGACCCATGGTGAATGGTTCTGGAATTATTAGGGGTGTTGTTAAAAATATAGATTATTTAGCCCAACTCCTCTACTTACTAGCTATGTGAGCTTAGATAAGTTTTTAACTTCTTTGTGCCTATATTTTCTCATCTATAAAATGGGAGTAATAATAGTATTACCTGATAGAGTTGTGAAGATTTAATGAGTTAATACCTGTGATTATAGTGGTGCCTGGGACATCAAGCATTTGATAAATGTTGATGTTAAAAAATAGATTATTCAGATTATTCATTCCTAGTAAATCAGAATGTCTGGTAGTGAGGTCCAGGCCTCTGTTTTTATAACAAGCTTTTCAGATAATCCATATGTTGCTGACCATATGGATTTTGGTGGTTTCTATCCCGACTATATATTGACCAAATCCCTCATGATTCAGACCTTACTGCTCACAAGAAAGACCAAGTAAGAGATTCTGGATGGATCCATGCAAACTAACCCTGTCTGGAGAAACAACTTGAAGTTTATGTTCTATTGGCAATGGGTCAGTGGGTTTCTCTTCAAACACGAAGGACAGGGCATGTATTTCGCACAAGCCCCTGGAAGCAGGCCATGAGTTACAGAGTCAGTAGGTTAATAACTTCCATTGAGTGAAATGGGCTTTCAGCACATTGACCAGACTTGCTTTTCTTTCATAGTCCTTCCTATGACTGGATGAGAAGAGTCACACAGAGAAAAAAAGTATCCAAGAAGGGAAAAGCCTGTCTGCTGTTCGACCATCTGGAGCCCATTGAATTGGCCGAGCACCTCACTTTTCTGGAGCATAAATCTTTTAGAAGGATCTCAGTAAGAAACTGGACATTTATTCTTCCAAGGATAACAACCTCCATGCCAACTTTCCCAAGAGCTGCATTTTCATACTCTGAAGTGTTGGCAGCCTCTGTCACTGTGCTCCTCTGGAAAAGTGCCCTTAATTCACAGGAACAATCCCTTTTAACCAAAGATAAATATTATCCTGTCTTTCTTTTATGGCACAGGAGCTATATTTCTGTCGCTATTTTCAATGTCTCCTTTCATAGGATTAAAGCATGATTTTCTAAATACTCGGTGGAGATTTAACCATTCAAGGTTTATTTAGCTCCATAGATGTCTCCCAAGTGAACGCATTTGGCTGGGCCCTTCATTTGGGGGGAAGAAATATTTATTTAGGTTGGGATTTGTATAAATGACTGTAAGCTTTCTGAAGAATCTTAACATTAGGCTGTTTCTTTCTCAGGGATGGAGATCCTGGATTAAATTTTTCTTTCTTACTTTGTCTTGATAGAGTTCCTTCTCTACGACCCCTTTCTTCCTTTCGGCTGTGGTCTCTTCCTAGCCACCTACTCACTTACTCACTTTCCATTTGCTATAATATTTGCACAGTTGTTCACAAGTAGCTTTTGTCTTTGTCTCACCAAGCTTTGGGCATGTCACTCCTTTTCCAAGATGCCAAAGAATGAATTACATTATTGCTTGCAAAGAAGAACATGAGGTCAGAAGTATGGATTTCTGAAAGACTGATTCTTTTCACTAAGTAATCCTGCTTGGAGAGGACCTTTTGAGTCCCCACAGGCAGGCCATGAGAGGAAACCTCGTGCTCTGTTTATATGATAGGAGGCTCTTGTGTATTAATATCTGATGACTCCCATGCTGACTTCAAGAAAATATGTCTGTTTTGTAAAAGAGTGGCCTTACTTCAATTACTATTTTTTTCTCTTCTTTTCTTGAGAACAATTTTGCAAGCTTATTCTGACTTGAAATTATGATTTTTATGTTCATTTCCTTTTCTTTAATGCATGCCATTTTATCTCGAACTTGCCCAACCATTGGAATCACCAGTAGTGGTGAAAATGGAGATTCTTAGATTATTCCTCTGGAACAGTGATCCTTTTGGTCTAACAAGTTTCCTGAAACCAGTGTTTTAGCAAATGCCCCATGTGGATCTTAAGATCCAGCAAATTTTGGACTCACTGGAATGTGACTTCGAGTCTTGCCCCTTGCTCTCCCCACCAACACTATGGTGTGTAATAATTGTGGGTCTGTATGGGAGAGTGAAATGCAGTGAAATAGCATGTTAAAGGTACAGATATAGTCATTATTCATAGTATATTCATATGTGTAAGATGCCATTGCAAGTGTGAAATGAAAGAAATAGTGATGTTATCGTGAAACATTGTCTCACCTCTTCCATGCAACATTCTAATTTATGATTTTTCAAAGACTCCATTATAACTCAGAGTCTCTGAATTTTCCTTTACTAGTTCACTGATTACCAAAGCTATGTCATCCATGGCTGCCTGGAGAATAACCCAACCTTGGAGAGATCTATTGCTTTATTTAATGGAATCTCTAAGTGGGTCCAGTTGATGGTTCTTAGCAAACCAACTCCTCAGCAAAGAGCAGAAGTCATCACAAAGTTTATCAATGTTGCCAAGGTATGTATGTCTATTAATTAGACTGGGATTCTTAAAGGGTTCCAGATATTCATTCATTTGGTTGAGAAAAGTCATTGAAGAAATTTGGAATTCACAATGTAGAAGGTAATTAAACTACCCATAAATGTCTAATGAACAAATATACTTCTCTCATGCAAGAAGATTGCTTTTAATTGGCAACACTTGGAAGTATTTAATGTAGTTATGTTCTGTGAAAGGATTGGTATATTTTTCTAGTGAGTTTCATTTGTATTTCATTTTGAATTGATATTGTTTTTCCTACATCCTTGTTATTAAAATTGTACATGACTTCATCTGTACTGCCAAAAGGTGAAAATAATTCAAAAAGTGTTACAAAGTATTGAAGTTAACATTTTTTTATTGCAGAAGCTCCTTCAGCTCAAAAATTTTAACACCCTGATGGCAGTGGTGGGAGGCCTCAGTCATAGTTCCATTTCCCGGCTCAAAGAGACCCATTCTCATCTTTCTTCAGAAGTTACAAAGGTACAGTGAATCAGATCATAATCTCAAGTAAAAAATTTGCTTGGAAATTGTTTAGAGGTAGGATGATCCTAACAAATGTCACCCAGAAGGGGAAAGTTTTCTTCTTAGACAATAGGAGGTTATAGCCATACCTCCTGGAAAAACAGAAGTGGCAGCAAGTGTTCCAATACAAATGCTTTTAAACCCCATTAACATATTAGTTGTAAATGTTAAAAAAATATGTATTTGGTGCTTGCTATGTGATCGGTGGGGTCGCAAAGTGTCAGACACGACTGAGAGAACTGAGCTAAACTGATGTGATCAGTATTGTGAAATACATGAAGGTTACAAGGCAAATAAGACAGATATCATTCCTGTTATCCCCTCCTCAAATGAAGTCATTGAACACCTGGTCTCTTCATAGCACTGGATTCAACATTGTATCTTGTATCTTCCATGGTAGAAGATACAAAAGAAGAGGGAGGAGACAGAAAGAAATCTTTTGTATAGAAAAAGACTTCAGATTTATAGCTGAGTTTCCAGGAACAAAAGTAATTTAAAACAACTATTGTTTCCCAAACTGAACTTTTTCCAGACCACAATTAAATATTTCCTTATTGAGCAAAAAAAACATTTCATCCTTATGAAAAGATTTCTCTGTAAAAGTGTACTTTGCTATATCAGTAAGGACACTTTCAGCTATAAGTTAAAAAAAATCTTGGAATTGCCTAAATAACAAGGAAATAGGTTGTGTCACATACCTGGAAAGGCTAGAGGCAAGGCCAAGTCCACTCATGGGCTGATCAGAACTCTGGCTCAATTGCTCTGAATTCCTCTGAGTGTGAGGTTTTTGTTTTTGTTATTCATCAGACTGATTTCCCTCCTGACTGGGTTGTCTGCAACAATGGAAAAAATTTTGCTCTTTTGTTTATGAAAGTTGGAAGTAGGGAAAACCCCTCTTTAGCTTTGCCCCCATGGAATAAAGACCTTCTTTTTTAGGCAGATTGGACCATCTGAAATCACATGCCCCACCCCTAGGCCAATAATAGTATCCAGAGGAATACAACATGTAGATTGGCTTAACTCTGTATTCCTGAGCCAATCATAAACCAGAGGGATGAAATGATGATGATCGTAGATCAGAACCTATGCTTGGCCTTGGGCATGGAAATAGCTCCATCTGAGACCCATGGGAAAAGGTATACTAGTCAAAGTTAGGGTCTATTAGGAAGGTCTGGTTGCCGTTAGACAACCAACAATAACTTGTTCATATGAACAGGAGAATTTAAGCCACAGAAGCACCGCTGACTGACCTCAAACACTGTACTCATTTCAAGTATAATGGGGCTCATTTTGTGTTTCATTTTCCTTTAGATTCGTACTGAATTTCCAGTAGAGAGCAAAACATATTTTAAATGTGAAGAATAAGAACTCAATGGAAAAAAATAGGAAAAAAAAGAGAATTCAATGGAGGCTCATAGAGGCTTGGAACCACCAGTGTATATTGAAAAATTATTTATTCAAACTATTCTTTCTTACAGAAAAAGAAAGCTAATGTCCCTAAAAGTGAAGTGACTTGCTTAAGGTCACCTTCTTACTTAGTGGCAGAGCCCAAAACCACAGCTATCTCACACATCAATATGACTGTTTCTGCCCCCATCCTGTCCCCTTCAAGTTATATCTTGAATGCAACTTTCTCAGAACTAGGAAATTTTAACATACTGCATATCTTAATATAATATATGCTTATTTTTTGGATTGTAATATTTCCATGAATTATTAAATACTTATATAATGATGCCATTTAACATCTCAACATCACTAGTAGGTAGGCAGAGGTGTGGGCTATCTCTGTTCTGTAGCAGAATGGAACAGGCTGTCCAATTCATAGTCAGATTTTCGAACTTTCTTTTTCCGGTTTAGTATCTCCCTGCATCAATGTTGGTGCAATCAATACTTCCCTTGGTAGCAGAGGAATTTCCTAGCCACACACTGTTGGGCCTGGGGGTGGGCAGAAGGGAAGGCTGTTTGAAAATCTACTTTTCCATCTGTTCCCAGAACTGGAATGAAATGACAGAGCTGGTCTCCTCCAACGGCAATTACTGTAATTACCGCAAGGCTTTTGCCGACTGTGACGGCTTCAAAATTCCAATCCTTGGCGTCCACTTGAAAGACTTGATAGCAGTCCATGTCATTTTCCCAGACTGGACAGAGGAGAACAAAGTGAACATTGTGAAAATGCACCAGCTCTCCGTTACCCTGAGTGAACTGGTCTCCCTGCAGAATGCCTCTCACCACTTGGAACCCAACCTGGATTTGATCAACTTGCTCACCGTGAGTTCAACAGGCTGGAGCTTGTGCTCCAATAGACTGGAGCTTGAACCTCACCTCCCAGGGGATGCAGGAAGATCCCCACCAGCAGTTCACAGTGAGGGCAGGGGAGGGGTTGGATGCCGGGTCAGTGGTTGGGAAGAAATCTCAAAGGAGGAAGAGTGGGGAAGCCACACCTGTAATTTGTGTAAATTCATGCTGTTCAGTACGATCTCCAAGCAAAGAAAATTCAGTTTGCTTTGAGGGTCCCAGTCTCTGCCCCCATAGCTCTGGTTTCTGGAGTTCTTAGCGAGGCCCTCCAGGTCTGCCCTCGGTGCCTCACAATCCTGCCTCACACTTATCTAGTTCATCACCCCCTTCCCAGTGCCCGCAGCTCACTGGCTTCTCCGGGTCCTCACTGCACTGCTGTGGCTGAAGCCTGGAGGAAAGCAGGAGCCCCCTCCGAGATCTCCCTGCCCCCGCTCCCACCAACCTCCCCAAACCACCAGAAGCACTTCCCAGTCTGGCCCTGGAGGCCCTTCAGGACTTGTTTTCTGACTCTTAGTCTCTCCTCGTTTCTGATTACCCGATCCCACATCACACCTGCTTTGAGGAGTATGGGACTTACACTTTTCACCATTAATTGCTGCCTTCTACTTTCTAGCCATTGCATTTTCTTGGAAAATCCTTTCCTTACCCCTCCACCCCACCCCATGACTAGCTTAAATTTAAATGCCTTTCTCTTTCTTTAAATGCTCTCTGGGAGCCTTCTGTTTCCCTCCAAAACAGTAATGCATCTGTCACTTGTGTTGCCCTTGCATTTTGTACTTTCTTATCTATAGGAGGTACCACTTGACATTAGATTTTTTTTTTCTGTCTACTTGCCTTATGCATTGCATGTTCCCAACACCTTTCATAGTACCTAGCATATGTACGGGCTCAACAGATGAACTGAATGCTATCTTTAGGAATGATGTGGGTTGGAAGAAATTAACCCACTTCTCATCATTTTGGGCATTAGTGGCACACACAGTTAGCTGGTCTCTAGGTCCTAGCACTTTTAGATACACAGGTGTGTAGAAGAGAATATTTCTCATTGGCTGCTTCTTTGTCAGGGGGACAAGAGGCATAAGCAAATTCTCTCAGCCTAGCTGAAACAAGTGGAGGAGTAACTTCCTTGTTTGGGTTTATGACACTGTAGCATTTGAAACTTGGCTGCAATACTGAATTAACTACTTCCTTCCAATGGCCATAGGAAATGAAAACAACAATCCCTCTGAAGTTCTGAAGGGCTAAAAAATCCTCTAGGGCTGCTGCATTGGAATAAGAGTGTGGTTCCTAGACCTTCTCACCCACTGTTCCTAGAACACAAAAATTGTCTACCAAAGAGTTGACCCCCTAGGTGTAGGCAATAATGGCAGCTGCCTTCTTCGTATAAAGCAGAAGTGGCCAACACACAGAAACACAAATCTCTTGGGGTTCAGATTGTGTGACAAGTAATAAACACTGAGACATTCTCACTGGGGGCGGGGGGAACCTCACAATCATCCAGGCACCTGCATTTATTAATCATTTGCCATGTAAATCTGTTTCTATGAATAAGTGACCAGAGTTGCAGCCCCAATCAGACTGTGTAAACCCACACACACAGGTGATGTCTGCAGACCAGTCTCAGGGTGTAGCCGAGGTTTCAGGTGTCTTTATTCAGACTGTCTCCCTGAGGTGGAGGATAACTTCATAAAGCAGCTGCCTACATCTGGGCAGTTTCTCATCTGGAAAAAAGATAATGATAGAGTAGGGGAAATAATTTTTAATTGTAAAGGCAGCAAGCAACATCATGACAGAGAAATCTTAAAGGATTTTGAATGAAATTTTGGGATGCCAATAGAAAAATCTGAACTCCAGAAGTAAAAGCTAAGAAATAATTGGGTTTTACTGAGAAGGAAAAAAAAAACCCCTCAATCTCTAGTTATCCCTCTCTCTCTCAGAAATGGAAGGAAAATTTAGAAGCCACCAGGCATCACATTTAGTCAGAGCAGTGGTGGTAGGCTATAGTATCCTGGCCAGAACCCCTGATGGAAGATATATCTGTTAACCTTGCCTCTGCAGTTTTTTAGCTTTGTCTCCTTGCTCACTGACTTTGGATTTTTTTTCCTGAAGAGTTTTGTGCTCATTTTGAGGTCTCACCCAGTTCTAAACTTCTGTGGTTCTAGATGTAAGGAATGGTGGAGCCTTGGGACTAAGGAGCCAAGTGTCAGCCTGATCCTATGGTCCCAGCCTAGCACGCATCAGGATAGCAGATTTTCAGAGATGCGCACAACCATCAAGTCAGCTCCTACTTGAAGCCAAGAGCCTTACTGTCTCCCCACAACCAAGGAGAAAGTTCATTCTTCCTGGCCATAGGCAGATTAATCTCCTTAGAACCAGGGTGGAGGAGGCTCCCAGGAGGTGTTCCCTGGAGCCCAGTGAACATTTCGTGAACCATGTACATGTTGGGATGAGAACCATGTGATTGACAGCAGCTGCCCAAATGCATGTGAGGTCATTCTTAGGCACAGCATTGAAGAGGTGATTCTTTCTGCTCCAAGACCCTAGGTCAAGTTTCTGCCTGAAGTGATTGCTTTTAAATACGGCCCCTGGTGAGGAAGCTGATATCAATTGAGAGCTCCAAAATATGTATAGCAATGCTTGAACTTTCTGTAGTAATTGATTCGTTTTCACAACACTTTTCACATACATTGCCTCAGTAGATTCTCACACACACCCTGTGATGTAGCCTGGGCAGGTCAGAGGGCGTAACATCACCCCTGCTCCTTCCTGTTTTAGAAATGAAGAAGCTGAGAGTCATAAAGGACAAAAAAGCTTGCAAATAACCAACTTCTGAATCCCTAGTTTGGATGTTTCTCTCTCACGCTCTGATGGACATTTACTCAGTAATGTGGGAATATTGCTGATATTTATTTTATTTTGCATCTTTGAAACTTAAATAATCTTTCTTTTCATGGGTGTCAGTTGTGTCCAACTCTTTGCGACCTCGTGGACTATACAGTCCATGGAATTCTCCAGGCCAGAATACTGGAGTGGGTAGCATTTCCCTTCTCCAGGGGATCTTCCCAACCTAGGGATCGAACCCAGGTCTCTCACATTGCAGATGGATTCTTTACCAGCTGAGCCACAAGGGAAGCCCAAGAATACTGGAGTGGGTAGCCTAGCCCTCCTCCAGGGGATCTTCCTGACCCAGGAATCGAACCAGGGTCTCCTGCATTGCAGGCAGATTCTTTACAAACTGAGCTTTGAGGGAAGCATGTAAAGAACAAGTTAATTACAAAACAAAATCTATGTGAGCAGGGACTCTGTTTGCCATTTTTATTACCATAACCTTAGCCCCCCAAACAGCACTGGGCCCATGAAGAAAAGGCAACCATACCGCCAAACTGCTGTGATTTAGGTTATTCCCTGTTTGATGGAAGATCTGGAGAAGACCCTTTCCATTGTGATCCTAATTCATGTAACCAGGAGCTTTCAGACTGAGGCTTCTTGTTTCACGGTACATGAAATAGTCTGATTTTTTTTCATAGTATTTTTAGATCTATCAGTTACGTTTACCATTCTGAGTATATGCAAATAACTGGAAAGCCCCTGTATTTTTACAATTGAAGAAGAAGAAGAGGAGGAGGATGGAGAGGAAGAGGCAGAATTGTAAAAATTGTGAATGGAGATAATTTGATGATCAAGTGTGTGTTGTTTCACAGTTCTCCAGTCAAGGCAATGTCAGTCCTAAGATGCAGACTAAATCCACAGCCATCTCTGCTGATAGGCTTGGATGTAAAAGCAACAACCTGAAACAGTGACTCAGAACATTTTTCAGAAACAACCAAACGTAAAATGTTAGACACAAATAGACATTTTTTAAATCCCATTGACAAGCTGCCTCTATTATTAAAAAGGTGTGTAGGAAGTAGAACAGGGCCATGACGCCCAGAGGAGATCCAAGAAAGCAAGTAAGATTGTGACTGGGAAAGCAGAGAGATGGTAGGACTGACCCAGGTGACAGCTCTGTATTCGTGGTTGAACACTGTGGCATTTGGCTGCTATATTGATTGGAAGCCAAACCCTGCAGTTCCCTTCTGTGTGACCCTCTAAAACAAACTGCAGTGGACACATACTAGCTCGTTTAATCTTCCCAACAATCCTGGGAGGGAACTATTATTGATTCTTATTTTACAGATTGAGACAGACTCTAAAGGCTAAAACTAACACAACTTTGTTAATCAACTATATTCCAGTAAAAAAAAAAAAAATTTTTTTTTAAAGCTTAATGACTTGCTTAGGTTCATACTGCCATTAATAAATGGAAAGCAAACCTTGGAAGAAGACCAAAACAGTTGCATCATGGAGTCAGCTATCTGTTCATTTGACAGAAGAAAATCCCCAAGGATGTTCTGTATCTTTTGAAAGAGCATCACCCCTCCTTGGTGTGTGGCATATTTAGGTTTTTGGTTGGATGGTCTTGCACTGCCATCTTCTCTTCTCCAGCAGATGCCAGTGCCATCATTAGAGGAGGAGTCAGGAGAACAGGAGCATACTCACTAAAGCCCAGGTTAACTCCTGATATCGAGTAATTCAGAAGAAGGAGTCACTCTGTTTTCTAGGTAGCATTCACAATGCAAGGTAGCGAACTAGGACAGGGATTATGGGGGCAGAAAAGACAGGTATGCTCTTTGCTTTCGTGAGGCTTGGAGATCAGCAGAGTCTTTTATTGTGGAATTTACAAAATGGTCAGTGACTTTTCATGGCAGATGTGCTTTATTTGACCCACAAGGACACATAAAAAAATTTTTATTATTAGATGCCAGTGCTTAAAATGGGAGTATTTCATATAACAGTCCAGATGTGTGACTTCTTTTGATAAATTGGAAGATGTGGCAATTGTTGTCAGACTGATGACAGTTTGTCTTAGCTGAGTAGTGGCTGTCTCCCATCCATCAGAGTTCACATCCACCCCTCCCCTCCCCTTGCTTCCCTAACCCAGAGATCCAGCGTCAGATTCCACTTATCAGCACAAATTTTTCTTATTGTTGGGCTAAGAGGAAAGATCCCCAAGTTAATCACATTGCAAAACTCTTTTGCCAAATACTCTGTTGTACCAATGTCTCTATCACAATCTCCCTTTCACGCATCTTCTTTTACTCCATTATATAGTAGGCTGGCTCCTAAAAGCATTTGTTTGTGACAAGGGGCTAGTTCCTCTCCAGCAAAAAGTCAGGGCCCCGGAAGGTGAATACAATGTGCATTCTTTGTGAGCAGGATTTTCCTGATCTGAAATGATACTGGGGTAATTTTGTAGTAAAGTCAGTTGTCAATTTTATTATGCTCAGAAAACACCTTTAGATGACAAAGTCTAGGTAAAGCAATACATGATCAGATGAGTGAAATTCTTAACTTAAATGTTATGTTTAGTAAGCAGAATAGTGACTAGAATGGTCCTCACCATATATTAGGTGGCCGATAAATATTTGTTCAATGAATGCTGCAAGAATGCTGTTTTATAATGCCAGCTTCTTCTTTTTTTAAAATGAGATCAAACAGAAAGATAAATTCTTCAAAGATATCCTTTGCCTCTGAGTTTTCTCTTGCTTCCTTCTTCTTTCTTGTCCCTCTCATTCCATACCCGTACACATTAAGCCTTTATCTAATTTATCTAAACCTTTTTTTAATTGAGTTTTTAAAGTTTGAATTTTTTCCTAGGTAGAAAACGATTTCACTTTTTTGGCTGCGTCGGGTCTTAGTTGTGGCTCTTACGGGCTGTTTCTTGGTGGTGTGCGTCGTCTCAGCCAGGTGGAATCTTTAACTGTGGCGCGTGGCCTTAGTTCCCCAACCAAAGATAGAACCTGCGTCCCCTACATTGGCATGCGGATTCTTAACAACTGGACTCCCAGGGAAGTCCCTAAGGTTTTATTTTTAGATGAAATATATTAAAGGAAAATTTTCATGCTTAAATGGTCAGAGAAAGGATAGGGCACATGGTTCTCTTCCCTGATAATGCCATGGTATGATTCATCTGGCATGTATGGGAATTATCTAGGCTTATTTAAGTCTTATGCATTCTGTTTTAGGTGAATGAGACCATGCATTTTAAGGTCTTATAGATTTTATCTGTACTCTTCAGTCTTTGCGTATGTTGTCATCCTTGCCTATCCTGTTTTTCTCTTGGAAGGTCCCAGTTTACAAATTACTCTGTGAATCCATTCTGATCTTTTCAGTCTTCCATGGTCCCTCCACACAATAATAAGAGTAGTTTTAGTAGCTGTAACAATAACAATGACAGCAACAACATCAGATTACATTTCCTGAGATTTTACTGTGTACCAGACCCTGTGTGAAGTTGTCTACATGCAGTATTTCATTTGATCCTGGTAAAAATCCAGTTAGATAAGGGATTTTTGTGATCGTTCCCATTTTATAGAAGTGGAAACTAAAGGTCAGAGAGAAACAACTGGCTCAGGGTCACAGGGTTAACCAGAGACAGGCTTAGGATTTGAGCTCAGGTCTCCAAAACCTCTCTGCCATGCTTATACACGCTGCTCCATGAAAAGTTCCTACAGCACTTATTGTGGGACAGCTTCCTCGCATCTAGCTTGTGTTGCCTTTTGTTGATATGAATATATCTTTTTGTGTTCAGGTCCTATTTATTCAAATAATGAGGGCAGAAATGACTTTATACCATTTTGTATCACCAGAACCTAGCACAATGCTCGGAAATAATAGAAACCTTTTAATTGCTCCTTTATATCTAGAGTTCTCTAATCAAACCTCTAAGACAGCACTGATTCCGTGTCCAAGTCTTATTTTATGTACTTGTCCTATAACATCAAGGATTCCTGATCTCTGGCTCTTAGGAGCTTGGTTCTTAGGAGCTGCTCAATAATTATTGAGAAATTGAATCAATGGTTCTTAAATGCTGATGACCATACTAGGTTTAACTTTTTTCTTTTTGAAATTTCATTTTCCACCTCAGCATGCTATCTTTTTAGTGTTCTACATTCAGTTCACTGCATTGGCCCCAAGCATTTGGTTTGAAGAAATTTAAGCAATGTAAATAAGTAAATAAATAATTCAGCATTCTGATTTATCCCTTCTAATTTGTTGTAGCTTTCTCTGGACCTCTATCACACAGAAGATGATATTTACAAACTATCACTGGTTCTGGAGCCTAGAAATTCTAAATCGGTAGGTATTGCTTTCTCTCTAAGGATTAGTGATAAACACCATTATTTGTCATTTATAATAATTGCCCATTACAATAGTGCTATGTGGTCCAAAGATTGAGGAATTTTAAAAATCTATATTCTCATTTTACCAGTGGAATAGCTCAGCCCTGACAGATAATTATCTCTTCACTTCACAGGCTAACAAAGAAAAACATCATTTCCAATTACTCTGTTTTATTCTTGATCTTCCATGTTCCTTCTGAGAACTACCTACATATACCGTTAAAAAAAAAGAAGTGGTAACAATAACTCATCTTAATGTTAAAGATCATTCTGACCCTTCCAGGCTTTTTTAAAAGCCTATTCAACATAAAATTAGATTTAATAAATTTTAAATACCCTAATCATAAATCAAAAATTTCTCTACTAATGATTGACCCAACTCAGAATTTCAATATCTCATTAGGATAGCACCTCACTTAATTGATAGTTGACTCTTAGTAAAGAAACATTATACAATGAGTTGAAGAAATTGTATTACTGAGTGTACACGGCTCATTACTTTTAGCAAGCAGACTGTAGCTCAGATATGTTTTACACTGGGAAGAAAAATATCAGGATGAATATGAAATTTACAATAAGGATGAAGTTTGCATGATGAAGAAAAAATTTCTATCTGTTTCTTATATATATATATATCCTAAGATCAGTTTTCTTACAAATGTCTCATTCATTACCTCCATTCCAGTTGAGTTCTGTGGTGTGTTGCCAGCAACTCTAGGCTCCAAGTCTGTCCATCTGTTAATACCCACTACAATTCTGAACCATTGAACTGAAAGAGGCAGAATGACTGTGAATGCTGTTCACAGTGAAGGGCAGGTGGGAGAGCATAAACTTGAGTCTGAGTCAGTTGACCTAGTAGCTTCTGTTCTTAAAATAATGAGTGGTGTTTCCATCACCATGTTCCCTCCTTGCCAGTCCCAAGAGGCTAATCTTCTGGGGACATTGCAGAACGCAGCCTTAGGGGAAGATACAGCACAGACAAAGGGAGGGATTAGGGCCAGACTCTTCAAAATTAGCATGATAAAGAGAGCTAGGAAGAAAAGTGGACTTCCCAGGTGATGCAGTGGTAAAGAATCTGCCTGCCAACGCAGGAGATGATGGTTTGATCCCCAGGTTGGAAAGATCCCCTAGAATAAGAAATGACAACCCACTCCAGTGTTCTTGCCTGGGAAATCCCATGGACAGAGGAGACTGGCAGGCTACAGTCCATGGGTTCACAAAGAGTTGGACACAACTGAGCACAAATACAAGCAAGAAAGAAAAGTAATGTTACTGAAAAAGGGAATTCATAAGCTTCTCTTTCATTCCATAGCTCTGGTGAGATGAAGCTGTCCTGTACGTGCACACACAGCATTGCCACCTCCTGACACCTTCCCTTATCTGTAACCAGGCATCTTAATTGCTGCCTGTTGGTTGTTGAATGCCTGGCAGGTCATAATATGTATGTTATCTCATTGACTGTGTTAAGCAATGAGATAACTCACAGAGTCTAGTGAGCATAGGTATCTTCGACACAGCCAGTAAGCAGGAAAATTTGGATTCCTCTTGGGACTGTCTGGCTTCATCACCTGTGCTTTTTCCTATGATGCTTCTCATCATTTCCCCACCATCTCTTGTTTAGAAGCAGGATAGGACCATGTTAGCATACATGCCTGATTTGTGCCCTTTAGCTTTACTTTATTTTCAGTATCAAGTTTTGCCAATTTTAGGAGATATTTCCATCATATATATATATGTATATATATAAAAATCTTTAAAAAGTATTTTTTTATTTGATTGCACCAGGTCCCAGTTGTGGCAGATGGGATCTTTAGTTGCAAAACATGGGATATAGTTCCCTGACCAGGAATTGAACCTGGGCCCCCTACATTGGAAGCATGGAGTCTTAGCCACGGGACCACCAGGGAAGTCCCAAAAAAGTATTTTTATCTCTTATCAAAGCAGAAGCTTTTGAAGACCTTTCCAAGTGCTAAAATCCTGTGTTGTTTAGTCGCTTAGTCATGTCCAACTCTTTTATGACCCCATGGTCTGTAGCCCACCAGGCTCTTCTGTCCTTAGGATTCTCCAGGCAAGTATACTGGAGCGGGTTGCCATTTCCTTCTCCAGGGGAATCTTCCTGACGCAGGGATCGGACCCGTGTGTCCTGCATTGGCAGGCATATGCTTTACCACTCCACCAGGGAAGCCCCCTAAAATGAAAATTCTATGAACACACATTTCCCAATCCCTTTCTGTCTCTTCTCTAAGTGGAATGTCATCCTATTTTGTATTTAGTGTTTGATGCGTGTTGGGAAGTAGCGAACAATTTCCAGTCAAGATTATTACTGAGAGCCTGTGGCTTTAGCGTGCTTAAAGGTAGAGCTGGCCGACCTCACCCACTTAGTCTCAGAGCTTCTTGACCTTTTTCTGTTCACAATGGCATCCTCTGTGCCTCCCTAGTTTTTGTTTTACTTCATGTCTCAGCTTTTTCATGCTAGCTCTAGGTCGAAAGAAATGCCTTATATTTCTACTTATAGAATAGTTAGGTCCAAGCAACTAAATATGTATAAATATTGATATTCTAATGACTTAGTACCTGCTTGAAAAACACACACTGAAAAAGATATTATTTTTATTTCATTCTTAAATAACCACAAATACTAATGTTAGGCATTGTACAATTTCTTAAATCTTGAAATCATATTGATACTGTTATCCTTATTGCTTGTTCCAGATTGGCTTTTTGCTTCACAAAGATATGATATCATTGGTAGAAACATAGCATGATTTAATGGTGAATTTTGTAGTTTGTGTGGAGTCCAACAACTGTTGAGTATAGCTATATTTCCCTTGGAAGTTTGAAATATCTTCTGGTATCCCTCTGAGTTTATGATAGTGCTTTGGGGAGAGGGTACCCCCCTCCTTGACCAAGTATCAAGGGAGCCAAGGGTTTAGTCCTTTGTCATATCAACAAGATGAAAGACTTGACCGAAAGAGCCGAGATGGGAGTGTGTGTGTGTGTGAGAGAGAGAGAGAGAGACTGTATGAAAGGGTGACCATATTCAGATGGCAGATATTTTTTGTTTTATTTGTAGCCCACATCCACCTCACAACATTAGTAGAGGCGTAAAACCATATAGTTACACCTCAGCTCCCCTTGCAAAAATGTTTGTTCCAAACTCAGTGTCCAATTAAAAAAATCTGCTAATGCATGTTTGTATGTAGGCACCAGAAAAAATATTTCATTGTGTGAGAGTCCAAGGGAGCAGACACAACGTGCACAGCACTCTTGGCTGGGCTCCTGATAGGACTGTGTTTTGTGCTTGTGTCGTATAAACGTGTTATGCATTATTGCCACCATCTTCTCACATTCTTAAGTGAAAATATCTTGCAAGAAGGTGGTAACACCTTTGGAGAAAACAAGTTGCACCGAAGAGGGCTCAAGGGAGCTAGTGATTATTCCAACCATCAAGAAGTGATTAAGCATATTGAGAGAGATGCTGGCAAGATGACATAAACTTGGCTGTACACTGCTACCTGCTTGCTGCACACACCTAATTTATCACTAGCCCTGAGTATTAAAGAATTAGATAACTGGTGTTTCATAGGCTTTCCATTATACAAAAAACAAAAACAAAAAAACTGTATGGAATGTTATAGAGATGTTTACCAGTGTTTTAGTATTATTTAGAGAACTTGGAAAGGATTTTTGGATGACCTGGATGAGCAATGTTTTTTCCCACCTAAAATAATGCAATCGAGGCTCCAGCTAAACAAAACACACTATCCAAATATGTATTTGGTTACAGATTAGATTCTACCGACAAAATATTCCATTAACAACGTTTTCGTTGATGTTTGTTTTAAAAGCATTTAAGTGTGACACAAATATAATTTTCTACTGATGTGAACATGCAAAACTCACATGTCTTTCTCAGTGTCCCTGGTCCAGATTGCTCAAAGTCCTAGACAAAGTTGAAAAACGTGTGTGTTTTCCATGTGTAAAATAGCTAGCTAGTGGGAAGCTGCTGTCTGGCACAGGAAATTTAGCTTGATCCTCTGTGATGACCTAGAGGGGTGGGCTGAAGGTGGAAGGTGGGAGGCAGCCATAAGAAGGAGGGGATATATGCACACATAGAGCTGACTGACGTTGTTACACAGCAGAAACTAACACAACACTGTGAAGCAATCATACTCCAATTTAAAAAATTAATCAAAAAACTTTTTTTTAATGTATGTGTTTTCTGTCAGCAGCCTACCTCCCCTACGACGCCCACCAAGCCTGTGGTGCCCCTGGAGTGGGCCTCAGGAGTGATGCCAAAGCCAGATCCTACAGTCATCAACAAGCACATAAGGAAATTAGTTGAGGTAAGTGAGCCCTAGGAGGCCCCTTTCTCTTTCCAGAATGTTCTCTGGTACCAGCCTAGGTATCAGCTGGAGTCCATTAAAACAGCCCTCTGGCAGGTAGGAGAAATTCAACAGACACTTAGCTCTGCCTGGCCATGATTTCTGGGGGAAGACTCTCCCAGGAAGGCCCCCTTTTCTCCTTTCTTTCTGTGGGTTCTCACTTGTCGAAATACTCACAGCTACTTAGAACTCCTGTCTTCTCCAGGCATTTGGCACATTTGTCATTGCCCTTGCAACCCAAAGGACTGTTTGAAGGTTAGAATCTACTCATTAAAAATCCACATGGGGGTGCTTTCCTGGTGGTCCAGCGGTTAAGAATCCTTCCAATGCAGAGGATGCGGATTTGATCCCTGGTGGGGGCACTAATATCCCACAGGCCGCAGTGCAGTTAAGCCTGTGAGCTGCAACTTCTAAGCCCGTGTGCCACAATGAAGACCCGATGCAGTCAAAAAACAAACAAGAAACAACCCACGTGGATCAAAATAAAATGCTTGATAAATTGCTTACCTGAGGGTAGGAGGAAAATCCTGCAAGGTAAATCATTTCCTCAGCTTTGTATGTTTGGAGGTCTGTGACACAGCAACATAATACCATTTAGGTCAGAAATATCACTTAATGAAGAGCGAGATGATGTTAGAGTTTTCCATGGAAAAAAAGAGTAGATGCACCAATGTGGGGAAGATGGAAAGCACCTTTCTCAGGCACTAGAAGCTGTGATTATTGATTACACCTCTACCTTCGAGGATCAGTATATCCTCAAGTGCAATAGAAACAAGTCTTTGGTGTAGAATGTACTCTTTGCTGGGAAAGAATGTTGACAGAAGAAGAATGTTCTACATCTTGGATCATCCACAAAACCATGAGGTGCTGATAGAAAAGTTTCATGGAGCATGTGAGGCAGAAAGGGAGTAAGGGGTGAGGGAAGATGATGAGAAAGCCGTAAGGTCCAGTGGGGACGACATGATGATGTGGTAGTGACAGACCCCACTTGGAGCCAGGAAAAGTGGGCAGAGGATCCAGGGACATGGAATTGTGGCTCAGGAAAGTCTAGAATCAAGAAATAAAAGAGGTATTCTCTCTCCTACTCTTATGTCTGCTTTTCTCTGAATGCTCACTCTATTCTGTGCAGACAGGCCTTCTTTGCTCCACATGCAGAGTCTATTTTGCCCCTCAGTACTTTATATCTTTTCTCTAATTCCAATTTCATGGGGGAAGGTTGACCCAGTTTTGATAGGTTGAATACCACCAATTTAATCAAATAAATGACTGGGTTTTACTTGAATTTCCATAATGAGTTTTATTCAACAAAAAATCTTACACTGTCCATATAAATATGGGTATTAAAAGATACATTGTAAGCACTCCATAATAGTTAAATTTTAAGCAGTTTTGATTTGAATAAGCACTGAAAGTGAAACTTACAAAAAAGTTCAGTTATCTATGGATAAAGTTACAATGATGCCAAACAGTCATATTTTAATGAAGTAATTTGTTCATTTATTCATTGCCTACATCCTAAAATACTCATGAATCAGCCTGCAACCTAAGGCAATAAAGATAAAATATAATAGAAACCACAGGGAAAGAGAGAGCAATTCATTACAGCTAGACTCTAAGTCAAGTATTTGCATACATGTGTTTGCAGGGAGAACTCACAAATTTTTTTTAAATCCTAAGAGGGCAATAGAAAATTCTTTTTTATTTTTCTCTGATTATAAAGAAAGCCAGGGGAATTCCATTGGAAGTCCAGTGGTTAGGACTTAGCACTCTCACTGGCCCCAGGTTCAGTCCCTGGTTGGGGAATTAAGATCTCACAAGCCATGCGGTAAGGCCAAAAAAAAAAAAAAAAAAAAAAAGCCAGAAACATTGTGAATATTAACATATTACATAAAACATAGAAAGTAGAAAGTTTTACTTTCAGGTCTTGGTATTTCTTCTGCCTAGGGATAATCACTGATAACTTGTAGATGATCTTGTATGACTTTATTCTACTCCCTCCATACATACACACACGTGCACATATATGCATGTATATCTCTGAGCAAACTTGTTTAAGAATTCTGAATTCTTATATACAGATCTGTTTCTGGACTGTACTGTCTCTACTAAGTTATAATACCATTTTGTTTTGGCTAATGTAGCTTTGATTTCTGATAAGGTACACTGTCTCTCATTACTCCTCAGTTTTTTTATTTGAAGTATAATTGACCTTCTAGGTGTTCTAGGTATTTGACATTTCTACACATTATAAAATAATCACCATGGTAAGTCTGGTTACCAACTGTCACAATACAACGATATTAAAATATTATTGACTGTATTCCCCAAGCTGTGCTTTCCATCCCATGTCATTTGTAACTGGAAGTTTTCACCTCTTAATTTCTCTTGCCTATTCTTTCATCCTCCCACTCCCCTCACCTCTGGCAACCACCTGTTTGTTCTCTGTATCTATGAGTCTGTTTCTGTTTTATTTTGTTTGTTCATTTGTTTTTTGAATCCTACATAAAAATCATATGATATTTGACTTTCTCTGCCTGACTTATTCCACTTAGCATAATATTCTAAAGTCTTTCCATGTTGTCAAATAATGGCAAGTTTGCATCCTTTTTTTATGGCTGAATCTATTCCAGTTTATTCATATATCACATCTTCCTTATTCACTCAACACTTAGGTTGCTTCCATATCTTGGTTATTGTAAATAATGCTGGAATGAACATAGGGGTGTATATGTCTTTTCAAAAACAAATATTTTTGTTTTCTTTGGAAAAATACATAAAAAGGAATTGATGGATTGTATGATAGTTCTATTTTTAATTTTTTGAGGAGCCTCCTTACTGTTTTCATAGTGGCTGCACCATTTATAATCCCACCAGAAACAGCACACGAGGGTCCCTTTTCTCTGCATCCTCAACAACAATTGTTGTTTGTTGTCTTTTTGATAAGAGCCATTCTGACAGGTGTGAGGTGGCATCTCATTGTGGTTTTTATTTGCATTTCCCTGAGATGAGCGATGAGTGATATTGAACATTTTTTCATATGTCTGTTGACCATCTGTAAATCTTCTTTAGAAAAATGTCTATTCAGGTCCTCTGCCTTAAAAAAAATTTTTTTTTGGTCAGTTCTTTGTATATTTTGAATGTTATCCCCTTTTCAGATGTATCATTTGCAAATAACTTCTCCTATTCAGTAGGTGGCCTTTTCATTTTGTTGACATTTCCTTCCCTGTGCAAAAGCTTTTTAGTTTGTTATAGTCCCAGTTGTTTGATTTTGCTTTTGTTTCCCTTGCCTTAGGTAATCACTCCTCATCTTTAACAATTTTAGGCTATTTTCAACATGTTACTTCTAGAGGAACTTTAGAATTAATTTGTTCATTTGAAACAAATTCCCACTGGGATTTTTATTGGAATTGCATTACATGTATACTTTGATTTTGAGATAATTTAACATTTAAAGTTTCACTTTCTATTGTCATGGTGTTGGTATTTGTAAATTCACCAGCCTCACTCCTACTCAATCCAGAGGTCTCGGTTTAGACCTTGCTTTCTTCAGGAAATATTTTAAAATTTGTCTCCACCTCCCCTCATAGCATTCTGCTTTTATCTTCAGCATCGCACTTATCTCATTATACCATAAAGGCCTCTCAATTTTGTTATCTCCCCCTACATTTCAAGCTCATTGATAGAAAAAATAATATGCTTAATTATGCTTTCCCAATAACAAGTTCAGAGGCTGCCTTATAAATAGTCATTCAATAAATATTTGTCTTTCCTTTGCAGTCTGTGTTTAGGAACTATGACCATGACCATGATGGGTATATTTCCCAAGAAGACTTTGAAAGTATAGCTGCCAATTTTCCCTTCTTGGATTCCTTTTGTGTGCTGGACAAAGATCAGTAAGTTTAATTTTGTTATATTATAATGCAGCTCTTCTGAAGCAGAAAATTACTATCAAAGGAGAGCAGAGAAGTCTCTCTCTAATTTATATCCTAAAAGCATTGATCCCATGATTTAATGAGATATGTCTAACTTTTTGCTGACTTTTTCTTGGTATCCATGAACATGACTGGTTGGATAGAATCACAAGGCAGATCGCATCGTTAGTGTTAAGTAGAGGGTCACGTGCAAATTAGCCCAGCTCTCCATTTCACATATTGCTGCTACTACTTAGCAGATGAACTATCATCAACCCCAAAACCTCCAGCAAGAAAAGAATAGAGGCTAATTATAGTTAGGTCTAGTACAGTAGAGTCTTCATCATCGCTGGACCAGGGAGTAATCTTAAAAATCATCAAGTAAGTAAGATTTTTTTTTTTAGATTACTTACAGTGTTCAGCTACAGGTGATCAGGTGACAGGTACAGATAGCCAGAAAGTGTCCAGGCTTTGTTTTTGTCTTTGCTAGCTCAAATGCTGTCTTGAGAAACAAAGGAAAAATATGTTTCTCTTTAGCTTCAAGTGATTTGTGAGAGATTAAGTAACTTTAGAGGCTAAAACCTGGATCATTAAATTTTTTTTAAATTTTAAATTGGCAAGAAACTCTAATATTTGTGTTGGTGTGAGAAATTTTTAAAAAGTTAAACCTGTAAATGATTCAGCACAAGGAAAGACTTGGTAATTTATCATAAGCATCTTAAAATCTTAATCTATCTTCACTGGATAACTAGATCAGAGAAATACTTTTAAAATATTTATATACTTTTAAAATAAATTATTAGAAACATAAACTTCTTTTATAAAATCAAATTTAAATTATCTGCTGACTACCCACTTCTTCCCTGTTTGTTTCTGTCGGTAACATGTATATAGATGTGAACTTAATGAATGTGAATGTGAACTTAAAAGCACTTTCCAGTCTTCATTTTTTTTCTCTGCCATTCTTAGGATGGAACTGAGTCTGTCCCAGCAAATACATGTATTTTTTTCCTAAAAATATAATAATCTTCCCTAAAAATGAAGGTTTAAAGCATCCCTACATGATTTCTTGTCAGACATGCTTAGATACGTTGATTTTAAGAGGAAAGTGGACCATCCAGGAGAAGATTCTAGTAGGTTGTTGAAGATATGGCACCAAGATTCAAGAGAACAGTCAGGGCAGGAGACATAGATAGTCAGGTCTTCAGTCCAGTGGTGTGAGCTAGAGTCCCAGGAGTGTGAGCACATTCTGATGGGAAAGTTTATTGTTTTAATTAAAAAACATTCTTATCTCTTGGCCCCACTGCACAGCATGTGGGATCTAGTTCTCAGACCAGGGATCCAGTCCACACCCCTTGCAGAGGCAGCACAGAGTCTTAACCACTGGACCATCAGGGAAGTCCCTCTGATTGGAAACTTTAGAGGAACGTGAGCATGGGGCCTGGGAATGTGGCTTCAGGGACTCCTCTCCCCACGTGCAGAAGCTGAAAGACATGGATCCTTCAGAAGAGCTAGAGAAGGAGGTGCAGAGGAGGCGGAAGGGAGCCATGGCTACATGGAATCACTGGGAGCATGGAGAAGGGATGTCAAAAACGGGGAGTCCTGTCCCCATGTCACGTGCTGCCAGGAGGTCAGCAAGTTCAAGGAATGAGAAAAGGCCACTGAGGATGTTACTGTGACAGCTTCAGTAGAATGGTGAATTAGAAACCTGATTATTTGGAGGAAAAGAGTAATTGAAGGAAATGGAAAAAATGTCTACTGAATACTCTGAAAAATTCAGTAGTAAGAGAGAAAAGACAAGTGTTGGAACTGGAGGCAGAAGTAAGGAAAGACCTTTTTAAGGAGGAGATGTCCTGAGTGTGTTTGTAAACAGAAGAAGGAGTGGCTGACAAGATGGAGCAGAACTTAGAAGGAGTAGTGTCCTGGAGACGGGGGTGGGGGGGGTGGAGGTGGGAGAATGACCCCAAGAAAGGACAGATGAGAGATAATGGAATTCTGAATCGGCACAGAAGGATGTGGTCTTCAACACATGCTGATGTAGCGAGAAGGTGACATGAATTTCACCTATGTCAGTGGATTTGATGGGGTCTTTTGGTAAACAAGGAGTCAGGGTGTGCAGTGGTAGGTGGAACCAGAGGTTCTATGTGAAGAAGATTTGGGAGAATCACTCTAGTGAATAGTCTGTGTGCCAATAAGACATGAATGAAAAGGTTACAAATGGTAGTGATCTGGACGACATCAGGTGGAAAAATTTGAGAATGGTAGGTCCAGTTATCATGATTTTCTGCCTTTCTCCAGCAACCTGATTCTTGCAAACCCTATTATGAGGCAAAGGCTAGAAAGGAGATGTCCTTCTGGAAGCTACTATTAGTAATGAAGAAGACTTTCTATGCTACAGTGCACAAGTCACCACCAGCCAACCCCAGCCCCCCAGCCCACACACACTCTGCTTACTAAGAAAGCCTTTGCCACTGAAAGCCGTCCTTTAAGGTCCTCTCCTTTCGGATGTGAATGTGTGAACAGGATAGCGGACATTCCCACCTGCTTTGGTCACAGAGGCTTGGGAGGCGAGTGATTTAAGTGTGGTAACGACTGAGCGGCATGTGTTTAAAGAGCCCTCTGTTCTCGGTTCTCTTCACAGGGATGGCCTAATCAGTAAGGATGAGATGATGGCTTACTTCCTGAGAGCTAAGTCCCAACTACACTGTAAAATGGGACCAGGATTTGTCCATAATTTTCAGGAGATGACCTATCTCAAGCCAACCTTCTGTGAACACTGTGCAGGATTTGTAAGTCTGTTTTTCAGTGTTTTCACTTGTATGTGGTGATTTGTGCAGTATTCTGAGAATGTGGGAAAATGGTCCAATAACAGAGTCCACGGTCTGTCTTAGGTCATGTAAACCACGATGGCTCCCTGAAATGAAACATTTGATTAAAAGCAAGAGCTGCAGGTTGAGCTCGGAGAAGGCAATGGCAGCCCACTCCGGTACTCTTGCCTGGAAAATCCCATGGAGGGAGGAGCCTGGTAGGTTGCAGTCCACGGGGTCGCAAAGAGTCGGACAAGACTAACCGATTTCACTTTCACTTTTCACTTCCATGCATTGGAGAAGGAAATGGCAGCCCACTCCAGTGTTCTTGCCTGGAGAATCCCAGGGATGGGGGAGCTGGGTGGGTTGCTGTCTATGGGGTCGTACAGAGTCGGACACGACTGAAGCGACTTAGCAGCAGCAGCAGCAGGTTGAACTACACTTTTTCTAGGAATGCAGTGCTGGTGAAGACAGGGAAGGTTGGTTAGGACTATTAACTCAAGAGAGCAGTTTGACTGTTCTTACCTGCCAGGGAAAGGTTCTACCCACTGAGCCCTGGCAATCATCACTAAGTGGGTACAACTAAGTGGGGTATTTCTCATAGCCAGCTCTTCCAAGTTCTTGTTTTATACGGTGTCAATCACTAGAGATCTATCATGACATGGCTCAGTAATTCAAAGCTCAGAAAGGAAAAAAAAATCTTTTCAAAGATGAGGTGGTTATAATAATAAATAACATTTACTTGGAATTTGACAGGAATGAACTACTTAGAGACATTAGTGTAATTGATCCTCATAACTAGCCCATGAGGTGGGCATTTTACTTTCCCCATTTGTGTATGAATGGAGGGAGGTCCAGAGTGGATAACCCAATTCTCCCCAGATTTCACAGCCAATAATGACTAGAGCTGAGACTCAAATGCAGGTATTCTGGTTGTATCTACAGCACTGCAACAAAGGAAGGTTGTACACATCATTTCCTGCATTTGATGATTCTTTGGCAGCCAAGATCAGGTTTGGCCTTGGTGTTAAACAAAGACCCTTGAGCTCTGAACATCTTCTAGTTGATATCCTAGTAATAAAAGATGGAAAATGTGGTACCTACACGAGGGTGGCCCAGCAGCCAGATGAGAGGCATTTGTTCAAGTGCCAACTCAGTTTTGTTAGCTTCATTCAGCAGTCATGTCCCGCTGTGGACCCACACGAAATTCATAGCTGATATCATATAAGCTCCCACTAAATTACATTTTCCCCTTTCATTCTTTTAAAAAGACAGTTCAATATTTATTTATTTACTTTTTGTCTGTGGCAGATCTTAGTTGAAGCAGGCGAGTACTTCATGTTGCACATGGACTTCTCCCTAGTTGTACTGCATGGGTTCAGTCAGCAGGCCTAGTTGCCCTGAGTCATGTGGGATCTTAGGTCCTTGATCAGGGATTGAAACCCCATCCCCTGCATTGCAAGGCAGAGTAACACTAGACTACCACTTTCATTCTTGAATAACTGGCTTTGAGGAGCTGAAGGGCAGGAGTTTCTATTCAAGCATCCCTCTGAGAATGGATAAATTTAGAGGCAGTGGTTACATCAAAGATGGCCCCATGTGATCATAGCAGCTTCTGTGGTCAAGGGGCAAGGCCAGCCTAACAGCTCTCTTCGCCCACCCCAGGGAAAGAGGGGTTCTCTTATCAGTTACGCCATTGGGATTGCATCACCTGACCACTTGATCATCAAACAAATACATCTCCTTTTTCATGTTTCTCTCTTCTGGGGGGGACTCTTGCCTGTGTCTAGACCTGAAAAATGCTCGAGTGGGATGGAGCCATGTGCAACTCTCTACTGCAGAGGGAGGCCCAGGGAATTTCTTTGGCCAGGGCCTGGCTCAGCCAAAAGTCAAGTTGAGACTTTGACCCTGGCATGGTGTGAGAGTTGGTAGGTCCTTATCAAATCTCAAGGTCTTATCTCTGCTCCCCATTGCTTCTGGATGTCTCTCCCTTCCATGGAGGCACAGGTTCTGTAGAAGCAACAAGGTAGGATTCTTGGAGCTTCCCACACTCCCCTCCTCAACTCATCACAATACATTTGCTGCACTAGGTTTTAGATGCAGCTGTGATCAGGTAGAACGCTCTGGACTTGGAGTCCAGAACTCTGACTCTCAATTCTTCCCTTAACTCTGTCCTTGACCAAGTTATAGATCATCTCTGAGTCTCTATTTTCCTATTTGTAAGAGAGGGTTAAGACTTACCTGTCATGTTGTTGTGATGAGTAAATGATATCAGATGTTGCATGCCACAGAGCTCAAAGTAAATCCTTCTCTCTTTGTTTTTTAGTGTGCCTTGATACTTTGGGAGTTTAATTGAAATTAACTCATTTATAGTTATAATAGCCCTTTTTACTTTCCAAAATACATTAATTTCATTGCTACAATTTGAGTTGATCTTTACACGGGCATAATTTTTAAAAAAACCACCTCATTGGTTTTCAAAGGGATTTATAAAATATCATGTTCTACATGGGCATTGAAGGGACTTATGGGGGAATAGAAGGAACTATCTTTTAGTGCCTGGACCACATACTTTTGAAATAAATTCCGTTTTGAGGGTAAGGAAGGCAAACAGACACTGCTTGAAATACATTGATTTTAGAATTAGAATTCCCAAGCTGAAAGAGTTTTGCTAATTCCCTTACTTTGAACTCCGGAGAAGTTAAGTGACTTCCCTAAGGTCACATGGATCATGAGCAGCAGAATCATGACTCATATTCATATCTCCTGATGCCCAGTTCAGTGCTCCTTCCACCACAAACAATCACCCCTACAAGAGCCTGAGATCTCACAGTCAAAGGGCTATGGGAAGTATCCTCTCCTGTCCTTGGCTTGTATGCTGATCCAGAGCCTTTTTCTCCCTCGTGTTGTCTCCTGGTTCTTAAGTAAGCATTAGCAAGCAATGCTCTGACTTGCCCTCCTCATGGGTCTCATGCTTGACTTTATCTTTTCCAGCAGTTTAGCAGTTTCTGCAGCTGTGCTAATAACATGTTATAGCCAGATAATCAAATGCTTCTTAAACCTTATCCTCTCTTGTCCTAGTTCAGTGGATTTTGCTCTGATCTCATGCAAAACACCCAGGATCCATGGCTTCCTGTCGTTCCTCAAGTGACACATTCTTCACCTTCTTTCCCTACTGACTGGCTATGAGATCTTGTCAAGTGACTTCACCTCTCTGCAGCTCAGTCTCCTTATCTGTAAAAATGGTATAATTATCATTACCTATCTCATAAGGATCTGGAGGAGGGTATGGCAACCCACTCCAATATTCTTGCCTGGAGAATCCCCAGGGACAGAGGAGGCTGGCGGGCTATAATCCATGGGGTCACAGAGTCAGACATGACGAGTGACTAAGCACAGGGATACTGTGAGCAGAAAATGAATTGCTACACATAGCTTACTCATTACTCACTTTGTGAAACTGCCTTTCACATAGCAAGAGTTCATTCAATGCTATCACTGTTATTTTTCTTATTACAAAGACCAAGGGCTCTGCGAGGAAACATTCTCTCATACCCACAAAGTTTCCCAGATGTGGGACCTTGCAAAGTATTTGACTTCCTGCATCATGACACTCACCTTTTATAAAAGGGAAGCAAACTTGATTATCATAAATATCCTTACAGCTCTGACAGATGTGATTGGCCTACCTACCCACTTCCTTTTCTGCAGTGACACCTCCCCATTCCTCTTCCAGTCATCTGAGACACCTGAGGCCTTGCTTCCAGTTAGTTGTCTTAATAATTCTTCCTGTCTCCAAGGCAAAATGTTACCTTGTCCCAAGAGACATTTGTAATGTTTTCTGAAGGAACAAATTACTTTTCAGGCTCAAAGGAATCACTCTCCACTGGTGGGATTTCCTTGTCAGAAAGAGAGTAAGGAGCAACCTTCCTACCGCCTTGAATCAGCAGCTCCTTTCTCTTCTTCTAGGGCCATGATGCCCACACTCAGGGCATTGTTCTCCTATAACACATTGTGCACAACACCCCCGTCTGTGTCAGTAGCCCCTACCAGGCCTGTTTCTATCAAAATGATTTCACTAGGTAGATATCAGTCACTCAGCCTAACCACAAAGAGGTTAGGAATGGAGCTTCTCCAACTTTAGGGCTAAGCCCATTTAATTCATCCATGCTCCCTGCTCCTGATGTCCCTGGTTCCCATATGCAAGGGTTGCAGGAGGCCTGAGGGAGAACGTGGGAAGCGCCCTTCTTCACGGAGGTTACAGCGAGGCAGAGGCTTGTGAGGACAGTCACCACGATAATAATCCTCAAGTGCCTGGGCAGACCCTCCCTTGGCACTTCCTCCATCTCACTTCTACCTGGGTTGGCACAGCCTGGGCACAGACCACACCCCGGGCACATGGAGAGAATAATGACATGAACAGATGCAAGATCTTTTCCTCTTTTGTGTTTCATCACGGCAGAAAAGCTTCTCAGAAAATAACCAAGCAAAATTCAAATGCTTTAGTAGAATGGCTTGCTGGGTTGCTTACTTTCCCGTGCTGTGTGCTGTGCTGTGCCTAGCTGCTCAGTCGTGTCCCACTCTTTGTGACCCCGTGACTGTAGCCCACCAGGCTCCTCAGTCTATGGGGATTCTCCAGGCAAAAATACTAGAGTGGGTTGTCATGCTCTGCCCTGGGGGATCTTCCCACCCCAAGCATCGAACCCAGGCCTCCCCATTGCAGGTGGATTCTTTACCGTCTGAGCCAGCAGGGAATCCCAAGAATACTGGAGTGGGTAGCCTGTCCCTTTGTCGGGGGAACTTCCCCACCCAGGAAACGAACCGGGATCTCCTGAATTGCAGGTGGATTTTTCACCAGCTGAGTTACCCAGGAAGCCCTTAATTTCCTGTAGGGGGCGCCAGAGCAGTGTGAATTGGAAGGTTGGGACTAGATGTGTGTGCACTGCCACGCGTGAAACACAGCTAATGGGAACCCACGGTACAGCGCGGGGACCTCAGTGGGTGCTTGGCGGCGACCTAGTTGGATGGCATGAGGAGTGGGCATAGGAGGAAGGCTCAGGAGGGAGGGATATGTGTATATATATATATAGCCGATTCACTTTGCTGAGCAGCAGAAACAAGCATTAACTGGAGTTGTAAAGTAACTATACCCTAATTTTAAAAAAAAGAAAAGAAAAGGAAAGGAAACCAGAGGGATCGAGGGCTTCCAAAGGCAGAGGGACAAAATCTTTCTGAGAATTTTGCTGAGCGCGCATTACAACAGAGTCCAATAAATTCATCAGTATCAGCTTCTCATCCCAGCTCCCGTTTGGCTCCCAGAAAGAAAACGGAAGCCAAACTCCTGTTATTGCTCCAGCTGGAGTGGGCCGGGAGAGGGTCCTTCTATCTGACAGGAAGGGTGTCAGGAGCAGCTACATCCTGTTTGTGCTCTGCCAGTCATCACGCTTCCCAGGACTTCCTTCTCTGTGGCCTTGTTTTATTTCCAGATTTCTCTTCAGATTCCCTGACATTCCTTTGTCTTTTTGTTACAGCTCTGGGGCATAATCAAGCAAGGATACAAATGCAAAGGTATGTAAATGTTATTTTGTTAAAATTTTAAATGTGACATTTGGGGCAGAAGTCATAATTGTCTGATGGAAAGTTTAAAGCTTTCGGCATCTTGGAGAACCCAGGGCTGTGGGGCTACTGGCAACTGAAGAGTTAATGATTCCAGGCAAGGACTCCCTGACTTTTCATTTCAGAGAGCCCAAGCTCGAATTTTATCCCAAGGAAACTACACTTATCATCCCACAACCATCTAACCCCTATCTCTAAGATGTCCTGCTCATCATTAGCACACATTCAAGGTGGGATTTCTGAGGAGAGCAAGCCCAATGGAAATACTATATATAAGAACTTTGTCCTTATATATATATATATAAGGGAAAAAAAGATAACCCATGCTCATTTCTGTAATACATATGCATCTCTTTCGGCTCTCACAGAGCTAGTCCTGTCTCTACTAGATTACAGATGATGATGAGAGAAGAGGAGACACTTTTGCCGGTTTCAGTGAATTTGTTCATATACTCCCCCCATTTAATTGAAATTTATAGCAATTGAATAAATATATATTTAATAAATGCAAATTTTAGATACTTTTGCTACTCGTAGATAAAATTATGTAATATATATTTATGTACATATAATTATGTAATATATGTACATATAATTATGTAATATGTATTATGTATTATGCAAACTGTTTATACTGGTTCTTTTAAGAATCTGATAATGCTCTTGAAGAGTATAATAAAACCACAAAAGGAATATTGTAATCACAGAATGCCTTCAGATTAATAATGTTCCCTGTGATGCCTTTTTTTCTCTAGCTATCTTTCAGTATTTGGCTCTCATTTTACAAAGAGTAGGGAGCTTCCTTAAACCTCTATGGGAGTCACACTTTAGTGCTCAGGAAAAAAAAAAATTCCCTTTAGTTTTCTGAATCAGTTGTCTTAGTCTAACTTGAATTGTTCCTTTCAAGCAGCAAAGATACTGGTTTCTCCCCCTTATGCCCTAGACAGACACACACACACACACACACACACACACACATACACACACACATACAATTTTATGAAGATGAAAACCAATTAAACCTTAAGATCTCTGTTCATATGATATTTTCTCTTAAAGATACATAGAGTGAAAAGTCTAATTAAAACAGACCAAACATCATTACAATTTGATCTTTCCATGATGTCATTACAAAACCATTTGAAACTAGACCACTTAGGACTGGAGTCCCCAGTCTCCAGGCTGCAGACCAGTACCTGCTGTCAGATCAGTGGCAGCATTAGATTATAAATAAAGTGCACAGTAAATGTAATGTGCTTGAATCATCCCCAGACCATCTTCCCTACCCCTGGTCTGTGGAAACATTGTCTTCCATGAAGAAATTGGTCCCTGGTGCCGAAAAGTTTGGGGATCACTGCTTTAGAGGGAAACAGTTTTGAAAATAATGAGAAAGCTCCTTTTTGATGGTGAGAGAGAAATATACCCTTTAAAATGGTCGTATCTGTCTAGTGATTCTAAGAGGAATGTAGAACTCTTATTGTAGGAAATAATTGTGCTGTTATCTTCCAAAGTGGCCAAAATTTTCTACCCCAAGTAGCAATTAATATCTACTTTCCTAACTAAAGCATCTCATGGGATGATCACAGGGTCTGCTGCTTGCCATTTCCAAGCCACAGTCAATGAAACATGTTTATTGAGCATAAGGTCACCTTGTCTTCTGTTTCTGTGCCAAGAGAGGAAGTGAAAGATGAAATCACTTGCTCTGGAAAAGGTTTGGGGACATGAAAAAGAATAGAAAATGCAGACACATCCTGAATGGAGGGATGCCTTGCTATTAGTAACGAGAGGCAGCAGTAGGTCCTGGGAGAGGGTAGATGCTTGAGGCTCAGGGAGTGCATTTGTGGGGAGTGGATCTTGGTCTGGAGAAGAACCCCAGTCCCATGTAATTTACATCTAGTTTGGGGACAAAGGCAACTCCTTTTCTTAGGCTGCCCCAGCACTTTAATGAACTGTATAGAAGAAGCAACAGAACAAATATGAGAGAACTGTAGGAACCCCAGGAAGGGAAAAGAGTCCTGTTGGCCTTTTTACTGCCCCTAGACACACCCTGTGGATCTGAGATTAAACACAGAAATGAGGGTGGAGGAGGGGAGTCCTGACAGCCCAAAGACCACCCTGGAAACCTGCTCAGCACCCAACACACGAGGTTCACACTAATCACCTGTGATGCTTTGGGTTGTTTCAGATTGTGGAGCCAACTGTCATAAACAGTGCAAAGACCTCCTGGTTCTGGCCTGCAGGAGGTTTGCCCGGGCACCCTCCTTGGGCAGCAGCCATGGGTCACTGCCTGGAAGTCCCTCGTTGCCCCCAGGTAATGCCCTCTACTTTCTTTCCTACTGTGATTTCTCTCTGCTCACCTTCCAATCCCGCACCTTGGCTGAGTTCAGGATCTAAAACTGGTCAGAGACGTTATAAACACAAAGGTCTTCTTCAGGGTGAGCAGCAGTGGCTAAAAACCCTTGAACCGCACAGGCTGCTTTCTGCTTTCAGGTCTCAATAACCTGAGGCCAGTTTCACTCCACCTCTGATCTGCTCCTCTAGGACCTTGCCCTTCAGACTCCTGTTGTCTGCAGCCACTTTGACCGTTTGCTATGAAGCAGTCAGATGTCAAGTAATCACAATAATCACAGTAAGCTTTCCCCTTCCAGTGCAAGATGAGGTGTTTGAGTTCCCTGGTGTCACCGCTGGACACCGAGACCTGGACAGCAGAGCCATCACGCTGGTCACAGGCTCCTCTGGCAAGATCTCCGTGCGGCTGCAGCGGGCCACCACCAGCCAGGCCACCCAGACCGAGCCCGTGTGGCCAGAGGCTGGCTGGGGCGACTCAGGGTCCCACACCTTCCCCAAAATGAAGTCCAAATTCCACGACAAAGCAGCAAAGGACAAAGGCTTTGCCAAGTGGGAAAATGAGAAGCCCAGGGTGCAGGCTGGTGTGGATGTTGTTGACCGAGGCACCACGTTTGAGCCTGACCAGGATGAAGCAGACATGGATGAGACCAAACAGGATGGTGAGGTCAGTGCTGGCCAAACCACAAATAAAATCAGAAGAGGGAAGCAGAAAGGGACTGAGAGGAGCGTTATTGCGAGTCCACAAGGCACCCTGGTAGTTTTGAAAGCAGAATGGTTGGGAATCAAGTTATATCACTTTTGTTTTTTTAAAGACATATCACTTTTAGTCTTGCTGTCGGCTAATTATGTGACTCTGGACAAATGGTCTCTTCTCCTTGGACCTCAGTTTCATCATGTATAAAACTGAACCAAGGGACTTCCTGGTGGTCCAGTGGTTAGGATTTCACCTTCCAATGCAGGGAATGTGGGTTTGATCCCTGGTCAGGGAGGTAAGATCCTACATGCCTCATGGCCAAAAAACCAAACATAAAACGGAAACAATATTGTAACAAATTCAACATAGGCTTTGAAAATGGTCCCCATCAAAAAAAAAAAAAAAAACAAACAACCACCTGAACTGAATGGGGTCTAAAACTCAGCGAAGATTTTCCTGTCTGTGTACTGATGAGATGTCCAGGGACCCTTGTGTGTATCCAATATATCAGTACACTATGCCCACCAGCTTAGTTTTCCAACTAGAATCAGGGCCCTTCCTCAGAGAAGGCATTGGAAGCAAAAAGTTTGCAGACAGAGGAGAGTTGGAAACTCTTGCTCCTACTTAAAAAAAAAAAAAGCCTTTTGACAGCATCATGGGGGAGAGGGTGGTGAATATCAGAGGTGTGGGGACTTCAGGATTCTATAAGAGCCTTTGCCTCCACACAAAAATGATGCTCAAATCATCCAAAGCAAATTGGGAAGCATATGGAATGTGTTACAACAAGCTGAAAATATAAACTGATTCAAGATGGACTTAGATAAATTTATTAGTCAACAGTCTAGAGTGTATTAAGAAAAGGATTTGAGGAAATTGGTGTCATATTCCTAACCTTTAAAGCAATGTCATGGAAGGCAGCCATTGCCTCCCTCCTGAATCATAAATAGAATATTAGGTTAGGCAGAGGTCCTACGGTATCAAGCCGATGGTCTTTATTCTTGTGATTGGACTGCCACATTCCACTTGTCATCAGGAGATCTCAGCAGTCTCCATAGTTATCTATGATGAGAAAAATGTCAATGACCTTTAACCAAAATTCCTCCCTCTTTGAAGACAGTAAGGATGCCACACATGATCCTCAGTCATATGAAGTTTATTGTAAGTTCCTGCTGAGCCATTGTTTCCCTCTTACAACAATAACTTTTAAAACAGCTTTATTGAGATATAATTTGTGTACTATAACATTTCCCCATCTAAAGTATATAATCCAGTGGGTTTTCGTATATTCACAGAGTTTGCACAGTGTAGCAAATCACTACAATCTAATTTAAGAACATTTACACCATGTGCTGGGTGGATTACATGATCTTTTAATTCTCTCTAAATCTTGAGAGCACAAAATACTGGTCATTTGTGATGTTCCCTCAAAATTATCTGATAAATTGCTTTCTGGGGATAGTTTTATTTTACCAAGAGAGATCTCATGGTACAACAGGTTCTGATTCATATTGCAGGATGGCTGACTTCAGCTGAGGACACCGAAGGCAATTGTGTTGGCATTTGGAAGGAGCAAGATAAGAAACTCTGAAGAACACTCCAACGCTCAGGAAGTTATCTGAAAAGATACCTGGACATTTACTGGCTTGTGACACTGTGGGATCTATGACTGAACTATGGGCCAGAGGATTTACCCTATGAACTATTTATTTCCTCCTCCCCTGATCCGAGTGAGGTGCCACAGAGAGATGTTATGTAATTGGTGATTTTCTCTCCTTTCTCTAGAGCCATTTATATACAGATGAAATGGAAGCTTTTGGCCATGTACTTGATATTCATTCTCTAAACTCAGACTTTACTTTTCTGTGAGAATGTTACTTCAGTGTTTTTATAAACTTCTAAGGTGGGTGTTTAACGAGAAGTCGATTTAATGGTGTTTTTGTGTGCTTTTTGGACGGGACCAGGACTTTTTTCTTGCGAGACAAGGAAGCTCTTCCAGGCTTGGAATGCAGTGGTTCTTCTAATAATGATTTGTTGCAAGGAGAAGCTGTTTACATTGTTCTTGCCATACAATGTGCAACAAGCCACACTTTTATAATCATATGTCTTACCAATTCTGCATCACTAGGTAGCCATGATACATTCATGAAAACTCCCCTAATATTTATAATTGCCATGGGGAAAAATTCACTAAATACTTGTCCCATCTGACTAGGTTTAGCCATCTTTCCTAAGACTGCTATTAAGAAGTGTCAATAGCAATTAAAAAAATCAATTCAAGTTTTTGGCATGCTCTTCCTAAGAAATTGCCATCCATGGTTAAAAAAAAAAAAAGAGACATAGAAAGCAAATCACCACAAACTGCCTCTGATTAACATTTCATTTAAACTTTTAAAGTATCAGCATTTTGAATAACTTCCTTTGACTCAGCATTACTAGACATGGGTCTGTTTCTTACATGATGAATTAGCAGAAAGCACTTGGTTCAAGATATTGAAAAACAGAGATGGGTTTCAGCCTAGGGGTGAGGAGAATGACTTGCTACCAAGGACCAGTCAGACGCTGGATCCACAGAGGCACACTGCATCTGGGAGCAATCCACGTAAGACGGAGTTTCTTTGGGGGCAGTCGCTTCAGTAAAGAAATGCCTTTCTTCTCACTTTCCATTAGGTAAATGAAGACAGTTCTGTTCAGCAAACACTTGTTGAGTACCTGCTCTGGGAAGGTCCTGTGTTAGACGCACAAAGAGGAGCAACCCTTCATCTCTCCCCTTGGAGATGAGAGTCTGTGCGTGTTAAGGCAAGTTGACTCTCTAAAATACTGTTTCAAATTTGCTAGAACTGACTTAATCAGGCCAAACAGATCCAGAGATCAATTTGCAAAGATAATGCAAATTAAATAAAGTTATTAGGTGAGGGGTTGTGATTAAGCTGGAAAATATAAGAACCCACCATTTGCATGCACCTCAGAAAGCAAACAGCCATTCTCAGCATTGGTTCTATGTATATATACTCTCTATTCCTATTCATAAATGCAACGAAATACATGTTACCAAAATTAATAACAGAAAATGGTAATTTAAGTATAAGAAAACTTTCTTGTGTGTATGTCTTGTGTTGTTGTTAAGGAATGTTAAGACTTATTTTTCGTCTCAAAGCAGTTATTTCACTTGCCATTTAGTTTGGATTATTTTTGAGATTTCAAATATACGGAAAGTTTTATATGGTCAGCCTTCCTGTTAGAAAGATACTAAGTGAAACGAGTAAAAACAAACCAAAAAAATAATAAAACAAGCATATTTGTGTGTATATATGTATATAAATTATTTTGTATATGTGTGTTTATATATATACATGGCTAGTGGTTAGGATTCAGTGCTTTCACTGCTTCCATGGCCCAGGTTCAATCCCTGGTTGGGAACTGAGACCACTCACTCCATGTGGCAAAACCAAAAAGAAAACCAGTGAGTATTATTAGATACCAATGGGCTTCCCCAATGGCTTAGCAGGTAAAGAATCTACCTGCAATGCAGGAGCCATAGGAGACACAGATTTGATCCCTGGGTCAGGAGGATTCCCTGAAGGAGGAAATGGCAACTCACTCCAGTATTCTTGCTGAAAAATCCCATGGACAGAGGAGCCTGGAAGGCTACAGTCCAAAGGGTCACAGAGTGGGACATACTTGAGCAAACACACACAAAGGAAATACTAGACACAGCAACTGAGTCTTCATTGAAAGATGTGCAAACTGGATTGATGTTTTTCCAGATCTGTCTAAAGAGTGATCCTAATTGATATTTTGAACACTTTATGTGGAGAGACTGTTTCCTGAAGTAATAATGTCCCCAGATTTCCATGGTAACAGTCTGTCCAAAAATCAAAGAAGTTTGTTATTTGACAATGAAGGCAGGACTCCTACAGAAGGAAGTGCCAAACTGTTACTGATGGCAGGAAGCTTAAGCATCCTGAAGATAAATATCTGGAGTTTTGACTGAGGAGGTAAATTTAGTCAAATGAGATTCCCACAGCACACCTTTGGCATGCAATCTACAGCCAGATTAAATCCCATCTCTGCCAGTTGTAGTCATGAGATCCTGGGCAAGTTATGTACATATATTTGAGCCTCAGTTTTCACATTTGAAAAGGAGAGATTTCACCACCTTCTTCAACTACCTTCTGTGTGTGTGTTCATTTGCTCAGTCATGTCCAACTCTGCGACCCCATGGACTGTAGCCCCCCAGGCTCCTCTGTCCATGGGATTTTCCAGGCAAGAATACTAGAGTGGGTTGCCATTTCCTTCTCCAGGGGATCTTCCTGACCCAGGGATCAAACCCTTGTTTCCTGCATTGCAGGTGGATTCTTTACCCCTAAGCCACAGGGAAAGCCTTCTACCTTACAGAGTTTTAAAGATCAAGTCTAATAATACATGTAAAAGTACTTTGTAAAGACCTTATAAGAATATTATTTTATAGTCAAATAGGGTTCTTTTCTAAACTTGTCTTCAGACTACATACTTACATGACTCTGTTCTTTGGAGGCTCTAAATCCAACATTTAACTAAATTTTGTGTCAAAGAAGAATTAAACAAAGAAATATTCACAGGGTTTTATTTTTTATTCCTGGCACTGTGTGTATATAGGGTCAGCTCTGTTCTGTTTTCTAACATTGGTTATTCTCTGTTTGAAAATAGGTAGATGAGATTAAGAAACTAAATGGGTAAAATGTAAATAAACTGAGAGAAGAAGATCAAAGTATAAAGGTGCTTTAGAGGTTGACCTTTTGAAAGAATTTATTTTACTACAGGGATACAAAAGGAAAATAAAACTTAACTTTTTAAATAAAAAGTACTCCATTTATTTGACATCTGCAATGTATTCTATAACTACTGAAGGTGGTAATGATAGGAAACTACTTGAATTTAAGGTTCATCAGAAAACTGCTTCCTCCATGCTTCATCCAAAACTTGCTTGCTGAAGTTTAGAGAGTACTCAGACCTCGAACAAAAATATTTATTCTCTTCTTAAGAGGTTAATGGCAACCATGTCGGAATTCACATCTATTCAGAATCTAAGTGACTTGCAGTTTACACAAAATAGCATAAGGAAAGTATCACATGGGGCATTCTATAAAGCATTGGACCCTAATGGGGGGCATTCTATAAAGCAGTGGACCCTAATGCTTCAAAAATAAAATGGCTTAAAAAAAAAAAGTAAAAGGAGGGACGGAGCAGTTATGGCTCAACGAAACCCAGCAACAAAATCAGGTGTGTTAAACCTTGGTTGGATTCCGGACCAAAAAATAAATAAAGAAGACATTTTTTGGAAGGCAATATATTAAATATTTAAAATTTTAAATATTTAAATTTGGGAAATTTAAATATGAATTATATATTAAATGACATACGGAATGAATGTTATTAATTCACTCCAGTCTGAGGTTTTATGGTTATGTAGGAGAATGTTTTTAGGAGATACCTACTGAAGTAGTTAGGGATGAAGTATCAACATCTGCAATTTACTTTGAAATGGTTCAGTAAAAAAAAAAGGAAAGCTTTTTCTGTAGAGTGATAAAGAAAATGTGGCAGGATGTTAACGCCTGTTATATTAGGTAGAGCGTTATGTAATAGGGAAGAATCTTTGTATTCTATTAGAAGCTAATCACTAAAGGGATGTTGCCTATAAGCTTAAATTATATATAATGGTGCATCTCTGAGAAACTTGCCTCCCAGGTAATGAGCATTAAGCAAAGATACCTTTGTTTACATCACAGGAAATGACCTGATCAGGCCCACCTGTGAATGACTACAGGCAGTAAGAAATTAACATCCCCTCAGGAGGCTGGCAGGAACCAGGAAAAGTTTGACCTTACTTTTCCTCCTTTTAGTGTAAAAGAAGCCTGAATTCTAACTCAGGCAAGATGGTTCTTTGGGACATGAGTCCACCATTTTCTCAGACTGCTGGCTTTCTGAATAAAGTCGTCACTGCTTGCTCCAAAAACTTATCTCTTGATTTATTGGCCTGTCATGAAGCAAGCAGTACAAACTTGGACTTGGTAACAAATTTTTTGTTGTAGTCAGTCAAGATCCTTGTTGCTCATGGCTAGCCATCCCTGGTTGGGGAATTTTCAGGTAAGGCCCTAGCAGGTGCTGGGGTCCCTCGTCCTGAGGATCCTCCCTTTGAATTTCCCTAATGCGGCAACGGCTGCCCCAGTGTTTGGTAGTCAGAGCAAGGAGTCAACATTTGGGAGCCAATGGGATCCATACAGTAGGTAAGTCTCATCCTGTTGTGAATAGTCAGGCCTTTATTTCCTCTCTAAGGCTTTTCCTCTGGAAGAGTTAATTTATTTTGTATTTGAGTAGGGTACCCTATCGGAGAGAGGCAAGAGTGGTTGGACTTTTACCTGATTTATGAACTGGTTCATTTGTTTCTTTGGATGCATTTTTGTGTATATTATGTATTTTTCTTGTCTTGAATCTCCTGTTTTTAAAAAATGGGGAATTTTAAACGATCAACTAGTTTCAACTACCCCTAAAGCAAGTCTTCTGAAGCTTATTTTGAATCAGACAAATGCATGAGTGGGAAGACGATGATATTTCATTGAAACAATGTGTGGCTATAGTACCTGTTGGGATCTCCACAAGGGGGTTTAGGCAGGGTTATCTTGGGGCCCTGTGCCCCAAGTACTGTGACCTTTCTTGCATTAATTATGTCATTTATGGTCTACTGTGTTGTTGGTATTTGTAAAACCCCAAGACCAAACTTGAGGGTTTATTTAGGATTTTGTGTTTCTTTGGGTTTTTAATTTTGTTTGGTATTGTTTCTCCACTTACAGCCAAAGAAATTTGGTGATACTTAAAATTTTTACTGATGTCAAATGGAGGAAAGGATCAGGAAAAAAAGCAAAGGAAAAAAAACCTGTCTGTTCTTGTCCAAGAGTGGGACATCCGCAAGAAGAGAAAGGTTCCACTTGGCTCCTAAAATGATCAGAATCTATGAATAGAAGTCTTTTCCATAAATGTTATTATAAAAGGGTACTGCCATCTAGACAGGTTAGCTTGATTTCTCACATCTGCCAGAAACCCAATTTGAATCCAATCTCTTTTGTAAGTGATGGGCTTTACATTGCTGTACCTCATTCATGACTGAAATTTTGGAATGGGAGCTTTGAGGTCCCTATATTTGTATGTGTATAACAGATGTGTGGCACTGCCAAAATTAATTATAAAAGAGCTCTATTTAATTAAAGGAAATTAAGCACTTACATATACTCAAACATATAAGACATTGGCCAGAATACATTTTAGGTTCATAAATACTCAATATTGAATTCATATCTGGTATTAAAGTTAACTTGGGCTTCCCAGGTGGCTCAGTGGTAAAGAATCTGCTTGCCAATTCAGAAGACATGGATTTGATCCCTGGGTCAGGAAGACCCTCTGAAGGATGAAATGAAAACCCATTCCAATATTCTTGCCTGGAAAATCCCAAAGGCAGAGAACGCTGGGGGGCTACAGTCCGTGGGGTTGCAAACAGTCGGCTGAGCACACATGCAATCATTAAAGTTATCTTAGGCTTCCTGGTTTGATTAATACAGACATGGTTTTACAGTTATGAGTTAGGTATAATACTTTTACTGTACATATGTTTACTAGAAATTAAATAAGACTGTATTATTCCTGTTACAAAATTTGTCAGCAAGAAAAGTAAACGATATGACAAAGCTTTTAAGTAAACAGAGCTAAATGAGGTAAGAGTTTTCAATAATCTTTAGGAATATTATGTTTTGGGAATGTCTAACTAAAATAGTCTCTCCAGATTTTTGTAACTTGAAACTAAACTAAATTAAATGAAGAGAATTCATTTACTATCTGAGTCATTTCGAACAGGATAAAATAGTGGAACATTAATTGCTGGGCAGGTCTAAGTTTACCTACCTTTGCTTCTTAGGAGAGGAAGACCAAAGCATATGTTTATCAATCAGTAAATGCTGATATGATAAACAGATACAGTCACTGTATTATTTTTAAAGCTTTTTTGAAGGTAATTTTAAAAAGTTGTGAAACAAAGAAATCCTTACTACTTTTCTTACCAGAATTCGTTAGAAAAGCAACAGTTAGAATAAAAACAAAAAAGCAAGCTCCATTTGCAGAGAAACTAGAAGAGATATGAAATCCTAGGCCCAGTAGAGGAAAGATAACCAAAAGCATCAGAGGTTGATCAGAAGCTTGGAGGAAAACAGGAAGTTGCTGTGGTAGAGAGGGACTCAGCAGCTAAAACATAAACCAAGGAACAACCAGCAGGCGGTAACAAGTATCCCTCTCAGCCTGTAGGGGCAGATCCCTTTTAAAACAGACGCAACGGATACTAGCAGGAGCTTCCTGGATCTGGTCTGGCTCTGAGCAGCAGTAGAGAAGGAGCACACAGATGAAGTATTTGTAAGAAGTGACCTGTCTATTATATAAAGGGACTATATATATATATTTATATATTATAAATTTCCTTTATATAATATGTATTATATAATATTATTTGTAACATATATATTATATAATTAATAAATATAAATTATATAAACTATAAAATGTTATATGTAATTATATAATATATAAATTAAAATTCCAGGGACTGTATAGTCCATGGGGTCACAAAGAGTCCGACGCAACTGAGCAACTGAACTGAACTGAATTCTAAGATAGTGAACTTTGTCATGGAAAAAAAGAAAATACAATTGCCAATCCCTTCCAATTAACCTTTGCTAAATGAAGTTACATGCAAAAGCTAGGATCATAAGACATTTCACCAAGCCTGGACATTATCCTGGCATCTTCCCAAAGAGAACTTCCTACAAATTTTGGATTACAAACCCACAGCTAAAACAGTTGAGACAAAACAAAAACCTAGGGCTTACTAGAGGGAAAAAAAGGGATAGTTAAATGTGAGACCTCCCACTACAAAATCAAACAAACAACACTGTTAAAAGCTAAGAACTAGAGCCACTTAATGAATTCCTGATCCCAGAAACCATGATAATAATAAAAGCTTATTGTTTTAAGCAACTAAGTTTTATGGTGTTTTGTTACACAAAACATTCTACTTGGTGATTAGACCATAACTTTGGGGTTATTTTCACTACTGTACAGAATTTGTACTTCTATCAGATAACTTGATAAGATGCAAATGATTTTCTTCTCCCAAGTTAACACCTGGGCCCTAATCCATAATAAATAGCATTATCAAACAAAGTTATACTCGCTTCGAAGAGTTTCTCAACCTCTGCGTGGTGGATGTTTGGGTCCAGTTAATATTTTGTTGGGATGGGGTGGAGGTTGTCCTGTGCATTGTAGTATGTGTCACAAGATGCTTGTAGCACTGTGTCTTCCCCACTTAAGTTGTGACAACCCAAAACTGCCTCCAGACAGTTCCAAATGTCTTCTTTGGGACAAAACTGCTCGTCCAAGAACCACTGCACATGCATAAGAATCATGTGGAGGTCTTGCTCGAGCACAGATTGCTTGACTCCATCCACAGAGTTTCCTTTTTTTAAAAAAAATTAAGTGAAAAAGTGAAAGTGAAGTCACTCTGTCGTGTCCAACTCTTTGCTACCCCATGGACTGTAACCTATTAGACTCCTCCATCCATGGGATTTTCCAGGCAAGAGTACTGGAGTGGGTTGCCATTTCCTTCTCCAGAGGATCTTCCCGAGCCAGGGATCGAACCCAGGTCTCCTGCATGGTAGGCAGATGCTTTACCGTCTAAGCCACCAGGGGAAGTGTTATTTATTTTAATTGGAGGCTAATTACTTTGTCTAGGGTGGAAATTGGAAACTTGTCTTTCTGAGTTCCCTGGTGATGCTGGTGCTGATGCTGTTAGTTGAGTACTGCACTTGAGAATCGCTGCTCTAGGAAGTCAGCTAACCCGTAAGCAGGCTTGTTAAGACACTGGTCTAGAATGACATCCAAAGGACAATGCAGCTATTCTTTATTTCCAGGTGTGGGGTGAGCTTTCTTAGTAATTCTTTCTAAAGACGTAGAAGGTGAACACAATTCTATATAGTTATAAAGGTAAACACCAGAACAACACTCTAATCTTTCTAAATATTAGAATAAATACAAAAACCAAAGCCAAGATAACCTCTATGACATTTTAAAAGTTGTAAAAATAGAAAACAGAACCTAAAATAAGACAGACCTAAGTTCAAATATATCTGTCATGTAAAATATAAATGGGCTACACTCAACTATATTTTTAAAAAGATTCTCAGACTTTTAACAAAGAAAAATCCAATTCTGTGATGTGCTCAGGAGACTTCTTATAAGTGATTCAGATGGTTGAAAATTTTTTTTAAATGCTGGTCATATATAACACAAAATTCAAAGCAAAAGGCACAAAAAGAGACAAAGGCAGGCTGATTTCTAATGCTAAAGGATACAATTCACAGTGAAAATTTAATGATTAAGTATTTTTGCACCAAATTACAGAGCATGAGCATTTATAGAATAGGAACTAAAAGGCGATTCAAGGAGAAATACACAGAAATATATTAATGGCATAAGAGTCATTTTCACCTTACTTAGCACATGACATATAAAGGACCAAGTATATAAAACATACATTGCTGGACCTGTGCCACCTAGTACGGGAGCCACTGACCACTGTGGTTGTTGAGCACTTGAAATATGCAAAGTCCAAAGTCAGATGTGCTACTAGTACACAACCCGTCAGAGTTCTAAGACAGTGCACAACAAAGAAGGTACAATTTCACTAAGGAGTTCTGTATATTGATTATATGTTACAATGTAATATTTTGATGTAATGTGTTAAATAAAATATTATTAAGAATAATTTTACCATTCAAAAAAATTTCTTAACATAGCTACCACAAAATTTTAAATTGCATGTGTGAATTGTGTTATATTTCATTTGGAGAGTGCTGCTCCAGAAAAATTCTAAAAATTAACAAAGTAAATCTAAATAACTAAAACAGCTAATACATATATGGTGCTTATTTGATTCTAGACACTATCCTAAATGCTTTGCATATGTTCATCCATTTAATCCTTGTATAACCCTAAGAAGTAGATATTATCATTATAGCCACTTTACAAAAGAGGAAACTGAGACATAGAGAAATTAAGTAACTTTGCCTAAGATTTGAGTAAAAAATCTGGGATTTGGATACTGTTAGTCTGGATCTAGAGTCTGTACTCTAAACCATGATGTTAAAAACCGATGCATATACACATTAACCCTGTCCTCTAAAAACAGACTGTCTTTAGTTCTATCTTCTTCAATGAAACAATTACAAAAACGGACCATATGTTAGGTCACAAGGAAAACATCAGTAAATTTCCAAAATTTGGAAATAAATTTCAAATATAAAATTAGAACTTGATGGCCAAACTAGAAAAATAAATTCCCTAAAATCCAGAAGTTAAAACAAAACAAAACCCCTTCCAAATCTTTAAGAGAAATTGAAGAATTTACAAGAAATGATCATGAAAACACTATACATACTTCCTACAAGTTCCACATAAGCACCACCCATAAGAGAAAAAGTCAGTCTTAAATATATGAATATATTAATATATAAGAAAGAATAAAAATAAATGACTATTCAAATGTAGACCTAAAACAAGGGAAAAAAAGAAAATCTAGTTAAAATGGATAATTTCTAGGAAAATACAATCTACAAAACCTGACTTAAGAAAAAAATCGTGGGGTCATTGAAGAGTTGCTGTCCAAAGTTATCATCAGACTGATAGTTCTACTAAAAAATGTTATCAAACTTTTAAAGTATAGATTAATTCTGTATAATTTACATAGTTCTAGAACATAATAAAGACTTCTAAAAACTTTAAGTCAAACATAATATTGACATCAAAAGAAAACTGGAATAATCTCATTTATGAATATCAAGGCAAATCTGAAATATTTTAAGTACAGTGCAAAATATACAGGTTAGTACTAGGAATTTAAGAATGGTCAGTATTCATTTATCTATGAATATGTGATTAGGTTAAAATATAAAGAGAAAATACCATCTTGATAAATGCTAAATATTTGACGAAATATACAGGTAATACTAGGAATTTAAGAATGGTTCAGTATTCACTTATCTATGAATAAGTGATTAGGTTAAAATCTAAAGAGAAAATTATATGATTGTCTTAATAAATGCTAAATATTTGACAATATTCAACACCCATTTATATTTAAAACTCTTGAAAATAAAAAACAATTTAAAAAAAATAGATGAAAACTTTTGAATGTGATTAAAATGTATTTATCTCAACTCCCAAATCAGGAAGATACTTAGAAAACATTGTAAGCATTGTGAGTAAAAGACTTGCCGATGATAAGAAGGCCTATCACTGTTTATTATCTAACAATGCCTTTGAGAGGTGTTAAGTAATACAGAAGACAAAAAGGGAAACAGGAGTATAAACATTTTAAAGTAGGCAAAAACAAATACTGTGAAGTGACTACACTGAGAAACTACAAGTGAATCAACTGAAAACTTACTACAAGCAAAAAGAAAAACCAATAAGGTATTGGGT